CGTGGCTGTCCCACTTAGTGGAACCTAGCGGCACTCCCGGGTGTGGTTCAGAGAACAACGTTCTCTGCCCTCTTGAAACATGACCGAGAACCAAATGACGGTGGGCACGGCCGTGCACATGCTTTCTGGGCGGAACCAAGCAGCAGTCTACACTGGTGAAGACCTCCAATTTAATATTAAAGTGTGAGGTAGTCACCAGTTTTTGTACAAAAAAAAAATACATATACATATATAAACATTCGTAAATATAGGTGGGTAAATGCATCTTCACCTATATTTGCAAAAATAAGGACATCTCTGAGACATGGTAGTAAGTCAGGCCAAGGACTGAGGAGGCTGAGGCAGGAGGATCACAAGTTCAAGGCCAGCCTGGCACCTTAGCAGAGACCCTGTCTCAAAATAAATAAAAGGGCTGGCAATGCAATTCAGTAGTAGAGCTGTTGTCTAGATGTTCAAGACCCCAGGGCAGACCCCAAATACTCCCCTGCCCACACATAACACCCTCCCTTCTCCTACTAAAATTTTCTAAAAGTTTGCACAAGGGAATAGCAGTGACTGCCTCTGGGACATCATGGACTTGTGGTGGAGGCAGTGATGAGACATCTGTCACCACACACAGCCCTGCCTCTCTTCAAGACGCGGTGTGGTCTGAGAAATGCCTCACTGGGCAGTGTTGTGTGCCCATCAGCGTATATGTGCAAAGCCTGGGTGCAGGAGTGTGCTGGGCATGGGGTGTACACTATTAGACCTTTGTTCATAAGCCACAAACCTGTACAGCATGTTACTATATGGAATACTGTGAGCAGCCGTAACAATGGTATCTCTATATCTAAACAGAAAAGGAACAGTAAGAGTATAGGCAATAGGAGTTTTTAGCCCCATTATCATCTTAGGGGACCATCATTATATGGGGTCTGACGTTAACCAATGTATTACTGTATCACTCTGGATTCCACCAGAGAAGTAGATGAGTAAGATGACATCCCCAGCACAGCAAGACCCGTGAATTCCATCACCATGGGCCCTTGGTGATCCTGTTTTCCTGTGAAGCTGGTTCCTTGCTCAGAATTGGTGTGGTGTGGAATACCATGAGGGACATGGCATCCATGAATCTCTGGATGGTGGTTTTGGCAGAGACGAAGCATTCAGGAAGACAAATGCAAATGCAGAGCTTCTGTTCCAGTATGAACAGCATGCTGCCCTTCCATGACGGAGGTGGTCCACTGTAATGCCCTAAGAAAGGATGCCATAGGAAGGCTTGGCATCCATCTCCACTGCTGCCATATGGGCACTCAGCAGTGGCCGTGGCCAGGTCCGCCTTGGTGAGAGGAAGTCAATGTTGTTGAGCCCATGAGTAACCTCCATCCCCATCACTGTGGCCATTTTGTTCATGAGCTCTCGAGTAGTGACATGGGAGGCTGGGAAGAGAGGCTGACATCCACAGACCAGGTTGCCCTGTGCACTTGACTGTTGAAGCCCCGCTAAGCTGAGGCCCTCCTTTAGAGCACATTCATGGGGACATCACCATTTTTTCCATTCAGTGACTTGGTGCTCCATTGCTAAGTATTCATGTAGCAAGCACTTACACTGTTAAGTTTTGCTTGCCCCTCCTCCTCCATTTTGCATCTGTCTCCTTTGTTCTGAGTGACCCTGCACTCCAGGGACAATTGGTCTGATCAATAAACATCTTGAGATGAACCAAAACTAAGCCAGGTAACAGCAAACTTCTTATCTCTGACAAGACCCCCCAGCCAGTCCTGAGATAATGATGGACAGACCACACCTCATCAAGGTCCCCTGCTTCAGCAGCTGAGCAGAGCCTCCATTCCCATGTCTATTAGGCCTCAAAGCCACTGCCAACCCCTGGAAGACAGGGCTGAGGACACAGTCCCATCTTCCCAGGGTAGTGGCACTAATCACTGCTCATCACCATTACTTTTTCCACCTGCTGTTTGGGGCTAGTGGAGACCTGATTTGTTAGAGCCCCAGAGTCAGGCCTTTGGCTTAGGACTCTGGTAACATTCAGTCCCTGTGATGGTTAACTTTGAGTGTCAACTTGACTGGGTTGAAGGATGCTTAGAGAATTGGAAAATCTTTACTTCTGAACATGTCTGTGAGGTTGTTTCCAAAGAAGACTGGCATATCAGTGAGCAAACACAAGAGCAGACCCATCCTCAGTGTGGGCAGGCACCATTCACCATCCAATCTGGGGTGGGGGTGGGGGTGGTTCGGGACAGGCTCACACGGAACCGGAACGCCAAAGAGGAAGACCGGTTCTTCCTGAGCTTCAGGTTTCCTGCTCCCTTGGATACATGACTCCAGGACTCTGGGGCTTGTACCAGCAGCCCTCCAGTGATTTGTGGGCCTTTTGACTACAGACTGGGGCTGCACCTTTGGCCTTCCTGCTTCTGAGGCTTCTCTGCTCTCCGGGTTGCAAGCAGCTGTAGTGTAACTTTTCAAACTGTGAGCCAACTGTATATACACACATGAATATTCATACACATATATCCTATTGGTTCTGTTTCTTTGAAAACCCCCAACTAAAACTAAAACAACTCTTTATTTATTTATTTATTTTAGTTGTAGATGGACAACATGCCTTTATTTTATTTATTTTTATGTGGTGCTAAAGATGGAAGCCAGTGCCTCACTCATGCTAGGCAAGTGCTCTACCACAGCCCCAGCCTCCTAAAGCAACTCTTAATAGGCCCCAGTAGCAAGCCAAAAGCTGGTTCTCAAAAGGAGACTACTTACCTACATAAACATGGGCCTTGCCCCAAAGTCCTAAGGGCCTGCATTATAGTTCACCTATGGGGCCTGCCAGAGGGTCCAGGCAGCCCCCTCTGCCACTGATGCCTCCGGCATCACTGGATCTGCTAGGTCATGGGGCTCGAGAGGCAGCACAGCTCCTGCACGCCTAGACCTCAATGGCCTGCTGGTGTACCTGGTCAACAGCTCAGCTGCAGCTCAGGGGCAGAGTGCACATGGCATGCACAAAGGGCTGGTCTCCATCCACAGCTCCACAGTGAATCATGGATGGGCTGAAACAGCACTCCCAAATAAGAAACATTATCTCCAGAGTGTTTACTCAAGTCTGGAAAGTGTCAACAGCAAACAACAAATCATCATATTCAAACTCTGGCTCTTTAGTCTGTTAAGGTGATTTACATTGATTAAAAAATTTTTTTTGAAGCAGAGGCTGGGCATGGTGGCACACACTTGAATCCTAACTACTCAAGAGGCTGAGGCAGGAGGATTGCTACTTCAAGGCCAGCCTCAGCAACTTTTGAGTCAATTAGATAAAATAAAAAGGGCTGGGATGTAGCTTACCAATGGGGCATCCCTGGGCTCTATTCTCAGTGCTGAAAACAAACACAGCCGGGCATGGTGACAGATACCTATGATCCCACCATGGAGATCAGTATGGAGGTTCCCCAGAAGAGTAGGCAGGGACCACCACATGACCTAGCTATGCACTCCTCGGTATCAATCCTTGAGAATCAAAGTCATCTTGCCACAGTGATGCCTGCATCCCCATGTTGATAGCAGCATGATTTGCAATAGCCAAACTATGGAACCATCCTGGTGTCCCTCAGTGGATGAATAATGTATGTATGTGTATGTGTGTGTGTGTGTGTATATATATATATATGTGTGTGTGTGTGTGTGTGTGTGTGCGTATATATGTATATATATGTGTATATATATGTGTGTGTGTGTGTATACACACACACACACACAAAGAAGTTTTATTCAGCTATAAAGAAGAATGAAATAGTTATTTGCAGGAAAGTGGATGGAACTAGAGACCATTATGTAAGCAAAATAAGCCAAACTCAGAAGTGTGTTTTCTCTCCTGTGTGGCATCTAGAGAGGCAAAGGGGAAAGAAAGGCATGGGGGTCTCATGGGAATCAAAGGGGGTTCAGCAGAGGCAGCGACAGGGTGAGGGGTGGGGGAAGGAGGGTGGGGTGTCACATCATGCGGCTACCTCGGGTGCAGGTGCCAGTCATGACAGTGGCTCCTGTCACTGCTGCCACAGAGCACCAATGAGATGTGGGAAGAAAAAAGAGTCATCAGTGACACCGTCTGGGCCCGGAGTTTTCCTTGTTGGGAGATTAACTGTAAATTCAATTTCGTCAGTAAATATAGAACTGTTTAGTGACCACTATTATCATATTTTCTCTAAAATTTGCTAGAATTTATAGGACTAACTGTTCTGCCACACCTGTAATGCTGTCTTTATCCTGTTCATTGTAGAAACTGACCATTTTATGAACCTTTTAAATTAACCTTTTATCTCTGATTTTCTCTCATTTATTTTTCAGTACTGGGGATTGAATCAGAGACACTCTAAACTGAGTTACACCCCCAGCTCTTTCAGTTTTATTTTGAGACAGTGTCTTGCTCCTGCTTTAGTCTCTACAGTATCTGGGATTACAGGCATGTGCCACTGTGCCTATCCTGTTGATCTGTGTCCTGTGCCTGTAAGTTGGTCTGGCAGTGTGATGTTGGGTGGGAACTTGTAGAAGAAAGCAGACTTCAGGTGTAATTTAGTTGAATTTTATCTTTTGAACTAGTCATGAGAGGTTATATTGACTACTGGGTTGATGATGCATGCCTGTAATCTCAGTGACTTGGAAGCTAAGGCAGAAGGGTTAGAAGTTCAAGGCCAGCCTCAACAAATCAGAAAGACCCTATTTCAGAATAAAAAATAAAGAGAGCTGGGGATATAGCTCAGTGGCAGAGTGGCCCTGGGTTCAAATATAAATAAATAAATAAAAGAAAGAAAAATAAATAAATAAATAGAAAAGAAAAAAGAAATTATACTGTCCGCTATGTCACAGACAAGACATCAATAGATAAAACTGGCTAAGATGATGGGAGTAGGAATCTCCTTCACTTTGTAAATGAACGCAGCTGTGAAACAATCCTGACAGAGATCATCCTATGCAAATTATAACAAGGACTACAAAACAATTACAGATAACTCAATGCTGTGTTCTACTTATACCAAATATCAAGGCATTTATTTAACCCCTTAGAGACAGAACAGAGTGATACAAAAGTTCATGAACACAGATTGCCCTGTGCTTACTGGCACTGTCCAAAGAGGAGGCCTGCATCAACGTCTGTTTCAGAAGAGATGACATGCGGGTCCAGGGTAAGGGAGCTTCGTCGCCACCCAAGGGCTGGTGAGGCAGCTGAGTTGCGGGAACCGAAGCCACACAGGGAGTTACTCACTGGCAGTCTAGTTAGCCCAGTCAGCTCCATGGGACCGTTAGCTAAGCAACTCCTTACTCTCAGAGAGGACAGGTTTCTTTCTGGCAGTGTGTGAGAGGGGACAATGGTAACTGAGGACTGGCAGAGACCACATGAGCTGCACATAAGGAACAGCAGAAAGTGGACAGGGCCTTCCAACCACACAGGGTGACTTCTAGAGCCTGTGCAACAGTTGATCTTGCTCCTGGTCCAGGATGATATAGCCAGTAATAGGGCTTCTTGGAGGTATGTGGCTGACCCAGAGGTAGCTTAAGACTTTGCAAACATTTTGTTTTCTGGTACTGAAGAGGGATTCAGTAATAACTGCAAGCCTGTTTATGTTTGTAACAGACAATAATAGACTCCAGGGCCATAAACATGAAACACACACACACCCTTTCATATTTGTTATAATTTCTACTGCATTGTTAAAATACAAAGACAAAATATTAATGTCTGGAATATGAAATCTTGACAGATATCAGTCTGTGTCCTTGAGGCACAGGTACCAGGGCTAATGCTCTCACAGTCTTAGTGCTCATTATTTAACACAATGCAGAAAACAAACCACCTTAAGGCTGGGTGTGGTGGTACAGGCCCATTATCCTTCTACCTGCGAGGCTGAGGCAGGAGGATCACAAGGCCACCCGGGCAGTTTAGCAAGACCTGTTTCACAATTAAAAAGAAAAAAAAAATAAGAAAGGCTGGCGATATAGCTCGGTGGTGGAGCTCCCCAAGTAGTGTGCTCGGGTATGCCCCACACACTCAATAGCAACTCAAGGATATTAATAAAGGGGCGATCTACAGACATCTCCAAAATGAAACCAAACCAGTGGTGGCACCCAGATCTGTATTCACCCTAGGTCTGAGGGAAAGGAGAAGGAGAGCTTAGGAAATCTTTAGCCAAAGAGGTGCCACAGCCAGAAAGGCTGTGAACTGGAAAGCCAAGCCAGTGTCCAGCAGGGAGCGGGGAGGGCGCAGAGGGTCCCTGCCCTACCGTCCCGATCTGCTCCTGGTACCTTACACTGTTCAAACCTGTGAAGAAAAACCAGTGGAGTCATCCCTAAGACAAACTCTGGGGTGCAAAGGAGAAGGAGCAATGGGCCTGGAGAGACAGAAAGCAATCAGCATATGAACACCTAGGACTTAGAGGACTCCCGAGTGTGGCTGCTGAAGGGGACTTACCCTGAGCCCCGGGAACAGCTTCCCACTTGGCTGATGGGGTCCATTCAACTACCCTTTCCCCAAAGTGCTGGGGACCAAGCCCAGGGCTGCTCTCACACTGAGCCAGCCCTTTTTCTTCTCGGAGCTTCTGCTCCTCCTGCCTCAACTTCCTGCACAGCCAGGATCACAGGCAAGGCTACTGTGCTCAGCCATGTCCAACTGCACTTAAGGGTCACCCACATGCTATGTTGCCAGACACTTCCCTTCTCATCATCTCAAACACTCAGAGTCTCTGTCATGATACAGGCTGTGAGGGCCAACTCTCCCCTCAAAGCACTCTGAAGTGCTCTCATCCACCCCTCATCACCATTCCCAGAACTCTGGGCTCCCTAGACAGATCCACACTTCCATTCTGTACTGTTCTCTGCTGCCCAGGGCTTCCTTCAGCATCTCCTATGGGCAGGTCAACCTGTGGAACAAACAATCTTCTGACTCTGAGAAGGCTTCATTTTGCCTCCATCATTTATAGATTTTTTTAAGAGAGAGAGAGAGATTTTTTTAATATTTATTTTTTTAGTTTTCAGCGGACACAACATCTTTATTTGTATGTGGTGCTGAGGATCGAACCCAGCACCGCGTGCATGCCAGGCAAGTGCGCTACCGCTTGAACCACATTCCCAGCCCTTATAGATGTTTTTGATGGAACCAGAAAACTCTACGTTGTGGGGGTTGCTGTGGTGCTTTCTTTCAGTAATTTAAGGCACCTTCCTTATCTTCTTACACAGCCCTGTCCAGATGCCCTGCTGTGATTTGTTCCTGTGTATGATTTCCCTTCTAGGTGCTTTAAAATTGTTGTCTTTTTGCAGTGCCAGGGAGGGAACCCAGCACCTCACATGTTAGGCCAGCTCTTTTCCACTGAGCTACAACCCAGCCTTTCACTAAATTTTACTTGGAAACAGAGTAGCTTGATATAGGGCTAGTCAGTCCTCTGCTAAAACAGGGCTTCTGAGAGCCCACCTGCTGCCACACGGTGACCAGCCATTCGTCTCTGGCCAGTTCCCACTTGAATTGCCCCTGCCTTGCACAGCTCCAGCTGTTCCCAGGTTTCCTACACATGTGTAAATCCTTACTCAGCCAAAGGAGTTGGGGATCCCTCAGACAGCCCCTCTCTGTTAAGCACACCTCCACATCTTCCCTGCAAACTCCAGCTATTGTGGCCCTGTGGGAATCCTTCCCTTCTCACCACAAGGCTATTCTTGGCCCCTTCCCTGTGTGGCCACCTGGAAACTGCCACTGTAGTAGGCTGGGTGACCATGAGTCAGCTCCATCTGTCTGGGACCACAGACCACATGTGTCATGTCAAGAATCATCACTGGCCAAGATGTGGAATCAACTCAGGTGTCTGTTGCTGGATGAATAAAGAAAATGTGGTATATGTGCCAACAGGATATCATTCAGACATAAAATAATGGAAATGCTGCTTTTGTTTGCAACAATGAGGTTGGAACTGGGGGTCACCAAGTAAGTGAAATGTGTCAGGCATTGAGCAATAATACCACCTGCAGAAGCCAAGTCTCCTCAAGGGAGCAGAGACCAGCCAAAATAGGTTCCCAGAGGCTGGGAAACAGTGGAGGTGGGGAAGCCAAGAGAGGGTAGCCAATGGGCCCAAGTATGTAGCTGGACAGGAGGACTGACTTCTGACATTCTGAAACACAGTAGGTTAACTATGGTTGGGAAGAGTTAGCCCTGGTTTGCAGAATTTTGATGGAAACCATGGACACTCTACCACTGAGCCACAGCCCAGCCTTTTTCATTTTTTAACTGTGGGACCCAGGCTGGCCTAAACTTGTGATCTTCTTGCCTCAGCCTCCCAAGATCCTGGTAACAGGTGTGCACCACTGCACCCAGCAACAATTAGCAATACAAATATTTCAAAATAACTAATGAATAGGATCCTGAATATTCTCAACACAAGAAATGTAAAGCTGAGCTAACAGATAGATGCCAATTACAGATATGCCTGACCTGACCATTACACACTGTATCCACACTGTAAAGCCATACTAAAACCCACAAATACATACAGTTACTATGTATCAATTAAAAACATAAATTAAAAAAAGAAAAAGCCTTTTTACATGTAGCTGTTGAAGGCAGGAACATGCTCTGATCCTGGTTACTCCACCACACACAAGAGTGAAGTCTTCACCCTTTAGCAGACATGTCTGTCTGAGACTGACAGCTGTTTGTAATGATTCCTACACAACAGACACAGTTTCCTGGCAGAATTACTTCAAAGACCCTTGGACACCAGAACTCCTCATGTAGACTCTCAAGACACAACGTCCAGCACCTCCTTTCTGATGACACCTCTGAATCCTGAGGAGTTTGCTCCCCCAGCTTTCCCTGTTGAAGTCTCTAAACATGAATCCCTGTGACCTCTGACAGAGGGTGCTGCCAACCTCACTTCCACCTTGGCTTGTCCTCACAGGGGTGCCCCAGGGAATCTTCTGGGAGAAGGCTTTTGCACAACATCTGCTTTTCAAACACTAGAAAGCTCTCGTGACTCAACTCCCTGCTAGCATGTTTCCAGCAGCTGCTATCTCAACAGGAGTCTCTCCTACCTGTCCTCAGTGGGGACATTTGACAGCAGGCAGGGGTCGGCCCTTGCTGCACTCATGTGGCGTTGGTTCTGTGTGGTCTTTCTGGTGCAATGTGAGCTGCGACCTGCTGCTGAAGCTGCCACCACACTCAGTGCATGCACAGCCTCTGCCTGCTGTGTGGCTCCTCTGGTGCCTCATGAGATGGGACTTTCTGGTGAACGATTTCCCACATTCGGCACACTTGTAGGGTCTCTCTCCTGTGTGAATTCGCTGATGGATGATAAGCTGTGCTTTCTCAAAGAAAGCTTTTGCACAATCACTGCACCCATGGGTTTTCTCTCCCGTGTGGTTTCTCTGATGTTTAATGAGCTGCACCTTCTGAACAAAGGCTTTCCCACATTCACTGCATTCGTAGGGCTTCTCCCCTGTGTGGATCCTCTGGTGCCTGAGCAGTTGTGGCTTCCAGGCAAACGCTTTCCTGCACTCACTGCATTCAAAGGGCCTCTCTCCAGTGTGGGTTCTCTGATGGTGAGTGAGACTGGACTTCTCGCTGAAGGCCTTCCCACACTCACTGCATTTGTAGGGCTTCTCGCCAGTGTGTGTTCTCTGATGCGATATCAGGCTTGACTTCTGGGTGAAAGCCTTCCCACACTCACTGCAGCCATACGGTTTCTCACCAGTGTGAGTTCTCTGGTGGGTTAGGAGCTGCGACTTTCCAAAGAAGGTCTTCCCACATTCCACGCAGCCATAGGGCTTCTCTCCAGAGTGAACTTTCTGATGCCGCATCAGCTCTGACTTCTTGAAGAAGGCCTCTTCACAATTGCGGCATCGATGGCTCTTCTCCCCCGTGTGGATTATCTGATGCTTGATAAGCTGCGGCTTTCGGATGAAAGCTTCACCACATTCCCTGCATGCATAGGGCTTCTCTCCTGTGTGAATTCTCTGATGCCTAATGAGGAGTGAGTTCCTGCTGAAGGCTTTTTTACACTCACTACACACATATGGTTTCTTGCCAGTGTGAGACCTCTGATGAGTAATGAGCTGAGACCTCCAAAAGAAAGCTTTCCCACAATCACTGCATTTATAGGGTTTCTCTCCTGTGTGTACCCTCTGATGTGTGATGAGCTTCACTTTCTGGGAGAAAGCCTTCCCACAGTCACTGCAGCTATAGGGCTTCTCTACTGCATGAGCCATCTGATGCCTTTTGAGCTGGGACTTCCTGCTGAAGGCTTTCCCACACTCACTGCACCCGTAGGGCTTCTCTCCAGTGTGAGTTCTCTGATGTAGCATGAGCAGGGACTTCCTGCTGAAAGCCTTCTGACACTCGCCACACCCGTAGGGCCTTTCCCCTGAATGTGTCCGCTGGTGCACAGTGAGCAAGGACTTCTGTGAGAAGGCCTTCCCACACTCGCTGCAAAGATAGGGCTTCTCTCCTGTGTGAGTTCTCTGGTGAATGGTCAGCTGTGACTTCCTGTGGAAAACTCTGCCACACTCCAAGCACAAGCAGACTCCCGTGTGTGTCCCACAAGCCTCGCTGCTGCTGGTTCTTCTGTGTTTCTTGTCATCACAGTATTGTACCTCTCCACAGCCTCTGTCGGGTTTCACACAAAACAGTAACTCCTTGCTGAGCTCATCAAATTTCTTTTTGCCACAGTTATTTTTTGGAATAAGAAAATCAAAAGGATGTTTCAAACTTTTTTCACCTCTGCCACATTTATGGAGTCTCATTCCTAACTGAACAAAGTTCATGCTTGAATTAAATATTTTCCCCAAAACATCACATCCATGGCCTTTCTCCATACTTTTAAGCTTGTCTTGATTATCTTGATGCCATATTTTAGAATCACTGTCTAGCCAGATTTCTAAAAAGAGGGAAAAAAGAACCACACTGTGTAACTTCCTCAGTGACTATGCTCATGAACACAGTGAGACCCACAAATACTCTCTATGTACTGGGCACTGACATATTTAATGGAAATGGGAACCGGTGTTAGAATTACAAAGGTCAAAATTATGCAGTAATCTGCAATTGTCTACTTTATGTCTGCAGCTTTGTTAGCTGCAGATTATGTAAAAAGACAAGAACAAAACCATCAGAGAGACTCATGATACGCTGAAAATGGGAACAGCAAAAGAGCGAGTCGGCACAAGAGAAGACGAACTTGGCCTGAGAAGAGCACAAGTGGGACGTCCTTCACTCCGGACAGCACTGATGTCTGTGCCACTGCTGCACTGAAAACCTCTCTGTGCCAGACAGCCACCTGGCCGTCACCTCCAGGACCCCTCCACCACTGGCACCACTTTCTGGTGATAATTTCAAGAATTCTCCAGAGCTCACGTGAACACTTTTATCTGATGCATGTTGACATTCAGACCCTTTTAACTGGATCTATAACTGAATCATAATCTACATATAAAATCTACATCATGTTATAAATTGAAATTATTCCAAACCATAAGAACTTTCTTGTATAACCTTAGTACAGCTTTTTCCATCCTACAGGTATATGTACTTGTGAGTTCCACCACATGGCTGCTTAATGAATATTGGAGTGATCTTTTAAAGGTCTGCTGACTGTTGATGACATTGTTTATAGCAACTGGGAGGCAAGATTCCCAGGAGGTACTCTGCAAGATGAAATATTTGGTGAGATTCTAAATGTAAAGCAAGTACTCTTTTTTCTTAAGAATACTTTTTGTGAGGCATCTCCTCTAATTCTCAGACATCAGAATTTCAGGGGAAGAGACACTTAGAGCTGCTGATGTGGAGGAGAATGAGAATGCTCAATGTTTCGTGCATGAGTGATGTTCACACAGTCCACTGAGAGGAGAGAAAACAGAAAGAACTCTGGAGACCAGAATCAAGAGTCACAAGCAGACACATGGAGGGGGAGAGTTTAAGAGCAAGTTGCTCTTTAAAATATAAGAAGAAATAATAATTTCAAATTAAGATCAAGAAGCAGTGTTAAGAAGTATATTTATTCAAATTAATAAGCAACCTGATATCAAGCAATAATAGAGTAGTTCACCTATGGATTTAAAGGCTTAGATATTCAATTGTATCAAAAAATCTTAAAGGAAATAAAAACATGTCATTTGGGAAGACAGGTGGACTACTGCTAGTGTTATACCACAGAACATATATGTTTCTCCATTCTGTTTCTGCCATGTGACCCCCATTACATCCTGTTTCCAAAATGACCTACTTCCTAACTGGGAGTCCAGCTTCCAATTCTAGCCTCTACTCAGCATCCAGTCACCTTTAAAAATGTAATCAGAAGCCAGGCGCAGTGGCATACCCTGTAATCCCAGTGGCTCAGGTGGCTGAGGCAGGAGGATCATGAATTCAAAACCAACCTCAGCAATGTCAAGGCGCTAAGCAACTCAGTGAGATCCTGTCTCTAAATAAAATACAAAATAGGGCTGGGGATGTGGCTCAGTGGTTGAGTGCCCCTGAGTTCAACCCCCAGAACACCCCCCACCAAAAACAATGTAACCAGGCCTTTTCATCCTCCTGCTTGAAAATTTTTTGATGCATGTCCTGTATGACTGGTTTGCTCTAACCTCTTCAATTTTATTTCACAATATTCTCATTCTTTTTTTTTTATCACAAAGACATTTTCTGCCATGGGTCCTCTGCATGTTCCATTCCTTATATTTGGCATGCTCTTCGCAGTTTTCCAGCAGGCCTGGCTCATTCAAATGTAAACATCACTTTGACAGCACACTAACAAACATCCTGTTTATTTTATGCGTAGTACTTATCAAGTTGATGATCCTCTACTTCTGTTTCTCCCTGTAGAATGTCAACTCCACGAGGATTGGGGTAAGTGGTAGTTCCCACTGGTACTTTCCTAGCTCACAGTGCAGTACATAGCTACCTCGATGTGTGGGGAGGAACACACTTGCTGAGTGCTAAAGCAGCTCCTTCCTGTAACACTGAATCTGATCATGAACTCTATACTCAATTATTGAATGCCATACAGTTCTGTATTTTCTTTTATGTTAAATTCTATGCTCCTGCATGGTTATTTCATGACTCTTATTTCCTTCTGAGTCCTCTCATTCCATATAATAGTGGTGGTTCTAAATTTTTTTAAAAAAATATTTATTTTTTAGTTTTCTTTTAGGTAGACACAATATCTTTATTTTATTTTTACGTGGTGCTGAGACTTGAACCCAGTGCCTCATGCATGCTAGGTGAGCACTCTACTACTTGAGCCACATCCCTAGCCCTACTGGTTCTAAATTAATGGGGGAATGTGAACTCTATCACTGCAGTTTTCCCAGACTCTACATACCCAGACCTGCTAGCCCCCACAGGAAGGGCCTAGACCTAGACATTCTGAAGTACTTCCCAGCATAGGTTAATACACAAGTTAAATGGAAACCCTTATACTGAACAGATATTTGACCAATAAGAAATCTCCTGATGGGCACAGTGGCACACATCTGTAACCCCAGTGACTCGGGAGGCTAAGTCTAGATGATCACAAGACAGACTCAGCAACTTGGTGAGGCCCTTAGCAATGCAGCAAGACCTTATCTCAAAATAAAAATAATAAAAAGGGGTGGGTATGTGGCTCAGTGGTCAAGCACCCTTGGGTTCAATCCCCATACTAGAAAAAAGAAAAAGAAAAATGCTAGTTGGGTGTGGTGGCGCACTCTGTGATCTCAGTGACTTGGAAGGCTGAGGCAGGAAGGTCACAAGTTTAAGGTAAGCCTGGGCAACTTAGCAAAACCCTATCTCAAAAACATAAAAGGGCTGGGAATGTACCTCAGTGGTAGAGAAACTGTGAGTTCAATCCCTAATACTAAAAACAAAAAAGAAAGAAAAAGAAAGATCCTCTTTACCTGCCTCCATAATAATAAACAAATAAAATATTAATAATTGTACCATAAATTTCACATAGAACAGAGATCAGTAAGTTCCTGGCCATCTCTATAACCTTAAGCCTAACAGTTTAAGGAATCCCAGTCAAGTCTGAAAAGGCCTCAGGTCCTATAATATAGGTGCTCAGCCGGCAAGGGCTTCAGACAAGCTGGAAGTCAAGGAGCATCCACTGGGTGGGGGGGGAGAGAAGCTCAACCAGAGGGGGGCAGTGTCTATGTGGGGAGAGCACACCCCCACCAAAGGCTCAGAGGCAGAGAGAAACATGGGGGGCACTGAGGAAGAGACTCGTCTAAATGCTCTGGGTACAGAAGAGGCACAGAAGAGGGGCTTAGTCAGGCTCTGCCACGTTCTGCTATTCTCCAGTGTAAATGGAGCTTAACAACACACAGCAGGGCAAAGGTACCAACACACAAACCCAGTGCCCCATGCATGCTAGGCAAGCATGGACACACAGCCTGCAAGGGGAGGACTGAGGCCCACTGAGAGGCCTCAAAGGCAGGGCTGCAGCGGAGGCAGGAGGCGTCTCCTGGCTGTGTCAGTGCTCAGCTCTGCTCCACACCACTTGCTCTGCCTTCCACTCTGTCTCTGCTGTAAGACACACAAGGAACCCTACCGAGGTGTGAGCATGCTGTCCCTGAGCATATGGAGCCTGATCATCTTTGTATATGATGATTGGCACCCTTGAAGCTAGTTCTCTGAAACCCCTGGGGATCTTATTTGCCTGTTGTCAACTGTGCTGTGCCTGCATAGGCACTTTGTTACTAAGTTACAAGATGAGACAGAGGCATTTATGGAGCAGAAGACTCTTGGTATGGAAAAGCACATAGACAGAGATCATCAGGGCAATGGTATCTGGTACCTGGGAGGGCAGTAATGTCATTTGTTAATTCAAAGTTTCCTTCATACTGTTAAATTAAATGAGAAGCCTTGTAAAAAATTCAATAATGACATACCTATTAAATTTCCAAAGGGAAAAAAGCCCAAATTTGTCAAATTAGAGGAAGGAAAGTAATAACTCAGAGAAGTTCTACATTAATATGAACTCAAGAGTGGTCAATGTTATTTAAAGTGAAAAAAAGTGGGTAGAGTTATGGCTCAGAAGTAGAGTGCTCGCCTAGCATGCTTGGGACACTGGGTTCGATCCTCAGCACCACATAAAAACAAAATAAAGATATTATATCCACCTATAACTAAAAAATAAAATATAAAAAAGTGAAAAAAGTTATGGATTTTTTTTTTTTTTTTTTTGGTATCGAGGATTGACTGAGGAGGACTTAACCCCTGAGGCACATCGCCAACCCTTTTTTCTATTTTATTAGAGACAGGGCCTCACTGAGTTTCTTAGGACCTTGCTAAATAGCTTAGGCCTTGCTAAATTGCAATTCAGCTCAGCCACCCAGGCTGCTGGGATTAAAGGCATGTGCCACTGCATCTGGCTAAAAATTATGCATTCTTAAGGAGGAGGACCAAAGCCTACCTCTGTAGGACGACTTGGAAGTGGGAATAAGGAAAGTAGGAACGTAAAGCAGGTAGGAAGAACTCTTTATGCAAGGAAGGGGTCCTCAATGAGTGGCCACTGTGTATGTGCTGCACAGGTGGAGGGCTTGATTCATCATAAACTGCACACAGGGGCTGGGGTTGTGACTCAGTGGTAGCGTGCTCGCCTTGCATGCATGAGGCACTGGGTTCAATCCTCAGCACCACATAAAAAAATAAAGACAATAAAGTCCATCAACAACTAAAAAAAATTTAAAATAAATAAATAAACTGCACTCAGAGAGGCCAGCAGGCTAGGGCACGGAACAGCAAAGCAAGAATCATGAAGAACTCCTGTCACTACTCTGGAGTCTATAAAGATTTAGGAATTTCAAACAGTTTATAAGCAACATTTCAAAAGTACTCACCTATTGCCAAAACCCTGAGATTTAATTTAATTCACCGTTTTCAATACATTTCATGATTTCTCACCTGAAACGTTCTGGTGTAGGGTCTCTTCATATACTGTCCATGACTCCTCTTGGTCTAGCTTGAAAACGGCATCAGGTTTAATGATTTGATAACCTGGAGATTGGAAGGAGGTGACATGGACCCAGATGCCTGAGCTGGAGTCCCTTGAGGAATGTCTTATTACAAATGCTCTGAAATAACAAGAGACTAAACACCTTTCAATTTGGTATTGGAATCAAGGAATCTCTGGCATCTGAAATGCATATGCAATCAGTGAACACCCCAGAGGCCCAGTTGGACACAGCCAATCACAGAAGGGCACCTCACCCAGGAAGAGCAGGCTGCTGTAGTTCTCCAGCATCACATCTCTGTACAGGCTCCTCTGAGTGGGGTTAAGCAGCTGCCACTCCTCCCATGTGAAGTCCACAGCCACATCCTCAAATGATATCTGAAAAGCACAATCCCGGCAAGTCTGCAGTGGTCCCACAAGGCTGTGCAGAACACAGGCTCTCCTCTGTGTGTGATAGCAGCCTTGGGCACAGCACTTTGTGCATCTTCCCTTCCTGACTCACTTCCACGGAACAGAAGGGCACAGAGTGGATGCCACTTCCAGATTAGGTTATCAGAGACTGATTCCCTACTGGGAGCTTGCTCCTTCTCTTCCTGGGGGAGGGGTATGGCAGCCATGTTGAGAGACCCAGGTGGTGTGCCTGGAAGGGACCATCTCCTCCAGCACCTCCAGAGCCCTGACAGGTCCCAAGCCACAGTAGTGTGAGGTGAATGCCTCCTGGTTTCAGCCACTGAGGTTTGGGGTGATTTGTTGTCAGCAATGGGTAATTAATAAGACACCCTAACACTGCATTATGCTTTGAAGGAGAAAGAAAAATGCCACTCAACTACTCATCATGGTGAGTGCATTCATCCATCTACCCATCCAGGAATCAGAAACTAGAACAGGTTGTCTCTAAATAAGCACAGTGGTTCTCAAAGAAGTGTCATGGGTATCTCAACCGAGCGGGAAAGCCCCAGGGCATGAAGACGTGTGCCTGGTCTGCCCTGCAGAGTGACAATAGCACCTCAGCCTCTGTGAGGACCAAGCCACTACTCCTTCCAGAGGCAGCTTTGCCTCCAAGTCAGAACAACCAGCCAGCTCTTTCAGGTATCTTGTAAAACACAAATGTTGAACAGTTAGAAACTAACAGGCACTAAAATATGAAGATGAGTGGGAAAAAACTCATGTTTTCAACACCCTTTAGACGCTCAGCAGAGACAGTGAGGTGAACAGGGCTATGAAGCAAGTGTGTGCAAGGGAGGAGACAAAATGGCCTGAGCACCGCGTGTGAGGACACTACCAGGTTAGGCTCTTCAGGGACTGGCAGGCCCCTGAGAGGTCTTGAGAGGACAATGGGAAGGGACTTCCCAGAGGCAGCAGCAGGATCGAAGCCATGAAAACAAGTGTGCTTCCCAGGCTGCCAGGAGTCCAGGAACACAGGTAGGATGGTGGGTGACCCAGTCTCTTTCAAAGTGAAAGCTGAGGCCAGAGCAGGCAGAGGCCCACATTGGTCTGGGGTGAACGTGAGCATGTGTGCCACAAGAGCTACAGAGGGTAAGAGTAAAGAAGCAAAGCATGGAGCAAGCCCAAGAACAGAGACCTGCTAGCTTACTTTCCATGGTAAAGCTGGAACAAGAAAAGGGTCACTTGGCTTTTGACTGATGAAAAATAATATCAAAAATTAATTTCTTGGGCTGGGGCTGTAGCTCAGTGGCAGAGCACTTGCCTCCCATGTGAGAGGCACTGGGTTTGATCTTAGCACCACATAAAATTCAACCAATAAAATAAAGGCATTCTATTCATCTACAACTACAAAAAAAATAAGAAAGAAAGTTAATCTTTTGCCTCAAATCTTAGTGCTACATGGAAGGGGGAAAAACTGTCTCCTGAGAAATCACAACAACAAGCTAGACTTATGTGGGTGCGTAATCTAAGTACACAGAACAGGTGTGCTTTGCAAAGACCTCAATCAGAAAGAAAGTGGCTTTAGATGGCAGTACATCAGGCCCCTGCAGAGTCAAATGTACATACTACCTAGAGAAAGGAATCCAGATGCTTCTTAAAACAAAGCATGAGGAAAAATGAGTGCAGAGTGTACAAAGAAACAAAGCATCATGACTGAGATCCATCTTAAAAACCAAAGTCCAGACCCATTAGGATATATGAAATAAAGGCTGGGGTTGTGGCTCAGTGTTAGAGCACCTGCCCAGTACGTGTAAGGCACTAGGTTCAATCCTCAGCACCACATTAAAAAAAAATTATTACATCCATCTGCAACTAAAAATTAAAATAAAATAAATATCCATAGTTCATTCAGAAAAACAAAAAAGGTCAATGAAAATATGAAACAGGACCAAAAGGGCTATGTGCATTGGCACATACTTGTGATCCCAGCAACTCAGGAGATTGAGGCAGGGGGATCACAAGTTTGAGGCCAGTCTCAGCAACTTAGCAAGATACTATCTAAAAATAAAAATAAAACAGGCTGTGGATGAAGCTCAGTGGTAGAGCACCCCTGGTTCAATCCCCAGAACCAAAAGGGGGGAAAAGAGAAAGAAAGAAAGAGAGAGAGAGAGAGAGAGAGAGAGAGAGAGAGAGAGAGAGAAGGCTGTACAACTGAGTACGCAGATCTGATGAAGAACTAAACAGAATCCTAGAAATAAAGTATGGGTGTGAAATGAAGAAATCAGCCTATAGTACACCAGATGCAAAGATGCGGGGGTCGGGGGGTGGATAGATCAGAAGAAGCTCATAGTGAGACAAAGTCACAGAAATGGAATATATAAAGCAACCCAGACTATAGCTGACTACAGTGATACATGTTAATGACAAAAACAGTTTGAACACAAAAGTTTAAAAAAAGGTAGCAACATATAAACAATAAGCAGCTGGCATGGCTTTTTTAACAAAGGCAGTAGACCTCAAGAAAAACATTATTAGACACTGCAGAAAAAGGAGGATTATCAAGTATAAAGAACACTTCAAATGGTAAAGGGTTAATTCTCAAAGAAGACACGTTGACTCTGAATGTGTATGCACCTAAAAATGGACACAACGACAGAAGTCAGCACTCTTTTCTGAGGAATGGACATGATATGCAGTCAGAAAATCGGGAAGGATGCAGATGGCCTGAACAGCAATTGGGTCAACTTGACCCAATGACTCTTAACTCTTTTTTTTTTTTTTAATTTTTTAGTTGTAGTTGGACACAATACCTTTGTTTTATTTATTTATACGCGGTGCTGAGGATCAAACCCAGGGCCTCGCATGTGCTAGGCGAGCTACAACCCCAGTCTGACTCTTAACTCTTAACTGAGAACACTTAGCCCACAAGAGCTAAGCAAACACCCTACAATGTATGCACACAGTGCCATAAGGCAACCCATAACTATTTTAAAATAAATCAAACAAAGTGTGTTCTTGGACTATGACAAAATTAACTAAAAATCAATAACATGTATCTAGAACATTTCCAAAGCCATATGTATGTGAATAAGCCACAGGTTGAATGGGAAATTATCGGGATATTATGAAAATAGTCTAAACTAAATGAAAATGAAAAGGCGACTTGTCAAATTTTGTGGGATATAGTTAAAACAATGCTTACATGAAATTTTATTAGAAAAATACTCATATATTTGAAAAGAAAAAGACCTAAAATCAATATCCCAAATTATCATTTTTAAAAATTAGAAATGTTGGGCTTAGTAGTGCATACTTGTAACCCTAGCAACTCAGAAGGCTGAGGCAGGATGATCACAAGTTTGAGGTCAGCTTCAGTAACTTAGCATGGCCATGAGCACCTTAGTGAGACTCTGTCTCAAAATGAAAAAATACAAATTGCTAGGGGTGTTGCTCAGTGGTTGAGCACTCCTGAATTCAATCCCCAGTACCAAAGCAAAACAAATGAAAACTAGAAATGCTGGGTGTGGTGGTGCACACCTGTGACCCCAGCTACTAGAGAGGCTGAGGCAGGAGGATCACAAGTTCTTTGCCAGCATCAGCAACTTAGTAAGATCATATAACCTAATGTAAAAAAAAAAAATCAAAATATTTAAAAGGATGGGGATGTAGCTCAATGGTAGAATACAGAACATTTGCACAGCATGCATGAAGTCCTGAGTTCAGTCGCTAGTACTGCAAAATATCAATCAATCAGGGACTGGAAGTATAGATCAGTGAAAGGATATGCTTAGCATGCATGAAGCCCAGGTTTTGATCCCCAGCACCACACACCTATACACACATACACAAGGAATGTAAACCAAGGGATATAATGGAAATTCCATAACCTAATAAATGATATCTATGGAAAACATACAACTAATAACATATTTTGATGGTGAGACAGAATGCTTCCCCTATAAGGATCAGAAGACAACAGGAAAGGCATCTTGCACTGTTCCTATTCAAACTCTGTATTGAAGCCTTAGCTAGTCCAGTATGGAAAAAGAAGCAGAAGGTAAAAACAAACAAACAAACAAACAAACAAAACCAAAATAAAACCCTATTCATAGATGACACGTTTGTCCATGTATAAAACGCCAAAAAAAAAAAAAAATCTGTCATGCATATACGCACTACCTCCTAGAACGGACTAGTGAACTCTGCTGGAAAACAAGAGGCCATTTCACCTGAGCCAGTGGTTTCCTGCACGCCATCAGTGAACAATGGGAACAGAACAGGTCTTATAGGGCCATTTACATCAGCCCCCAAACACAGTCAGGTACCAATATACACAGAAGGCAACACAGTAACAGTATCTGTGTGTTACTAACTGGTGACAAGAGAAATCAAAGAACATGACATCATGGACAGACACACATTCCATGCTTGGAGATGGAGTGTGGCCGGGTCATCACTTCTCCCTGAAAATGCCACGGATTTCAAACAGTCAAAGTAGCAAGTGTTGGCTCAGCAGTAGAGCGCTTGCCTGGCACGTGGCAGGCCCTAGGTTCGATCCTCAGCACCACATTAAAAAAAAAAAAGAACAAGTAAATAAAATAAAGTATTTGTTTGTTTAAAGTAGCAAGTGGCTCTGCAGGCATTAGCAAGTTGATCCTAATATGCACTTGGAAAGACAAAGGTACTGGATGGCCACATCTGGACAAAGCACTGCACTGCAGGACTCCACTTGGTTTTAAGACTCCCCATGGAGCCAGGGTAATTAGGACAGGTGGTAGTGGTGAAGGGATAGATGCACACAGCTCACTGGAACAGAACAGAACCCAGAGATAACCTCACAAACATGCTCTGCTCCAGAGTCCATTCAACAAATGATGCCACAGCAACTGTGTACCCATGAGCAAAAGGATGAACCTCCACACAGAACTTACGCTTTATGTAAGAACTTATTCAAAGTGCACTGCTGCAATCCCAGCAACCGAGAGGCTGGGGCAGGAGCACTGCAAGTTCAAAGCCAGTCTCAGCAACTTAGCAAGGCCCCTTTTCAAAATTATGAGAAGGAAGTGAGCAAAAGAAGGACTGGGCATAGTTGGGTGGTAGAACACCTGCCTAACATGTGCAAGGCCATGGGTTCTGTCCTCATCACTACAAAACAGGATAAAACAATGAGCAAAAGATCTTAACAGACACTTCACCAAAAAAGACTGGATGGAAAATAAACACATGAAAAGATGTTTGATGTCATTTGTCAAGGGAAAAATGCAAACTAAAATCATAGTAAGATACTACTATGCATATAACGAAAGGCAAAATGACAAAAAACTGATGGATGCTGGTGAGGATGTGAGCAACAGCAATTTCCACTTGCTACAGTCAGAGTGTAAGATGCACAGCAACCTTGGAAACATGTGGAGACTTTGGCAGCAGCTTATAGAGCTGAACACACTTGCCAGAAAACCCAAAAATCCCACTCCTAGGTATTGACCCAGGTGAACAGAACACTCATGGTCAAACCTACATGCAGAAGAATGCATTATTCCTAACTGCTAGCAGGTGCCAGCAACCACAGTGCCCTTCAACAAGCAGATGCTTAAACAGCTGGTGCATCATATAGGCAGACACTGCCCAAGGACAGCACTTGGGGCTAAGGGGCACACCAGCCAGTTCTAGGTCCATGACTGAAGAAGCATTATTGAATGGCTACGTGCTGTTTCTATGTTTTATTTCTTTTGAGAGGGTTCTTGCTATGCTTCCCAGGCTGGTCTTGAACTTGTGGGCAGAAGTGATCCTCCCACCTCAACCTCCCAAGTAGCCAGGACTACAGGCATGCTCCCCCATGCCCAGCTGATTTACATACTTTCAATTCCAGTCACATGACATTCTGGAAAAGAAAAAACTATGCCATGAACCAGACTGTATACAACAGACAGACCAACTGATTCAAGACTGAGGAGTACACAAAGATGAGGGGTGCCTTCTGGTAAAGGGACAGCACAGGGGCCTCCTGTTCAGGGCTCCTCTGCAGTGGCATGATTTGGCCCCATACCTGTTGCATGGACCCGACCTAACTGGCGTGCCATCTCAGGGGAAGGGGCACTTGCTTGGGCTCCTGCCTGTACCATCTCAGAGGTGAAGGATGGTGCTGCCCTTGCTCTCTGGGAGGCTTGTGGCTTTCCCTGATGACTGATGCTTCGCAGCTCAGCTAGGCCAGCTCAGCTGAGCTCCCAGCATACAAGTGAATTTCAAAACTAAGAAAACATGAAACTTTTTGCATATTTATTTGAACAACAAAATTCTTAAGAAAAATTAAGAAAATAAGGAAGGAAAAGAATGAAAGGGAGAGATAAGCAAGGTGGTCAAGAACTCCTTTTCCATGGATTAGAGCACAGATACAGCTGGAGGCAGATGCCTGCATGCGCACCTTTGCCAACAGAAGCACAAACATTTTAACCTAAACTATCAAAATTCCAACTGAGAGGATTTATAGGGACCCGGTCAACTCTGCCAGATGACTTAGTGTCCTTCCTGAAACTAGCATCTAGGTAGGATGTGTCCCTGCTTCAGTCTCTGAGGAATGGTGTTCTGTGTTCTTTAGGTTCATTCCCTTAGCTTACACTGAGGAGTTTTAAGGAGCTATCCTAGAGCACATGCTACGATGGGTGCCATCTACTATGCCACTTATCTCAAGAGCCATCACTGCTTCCTCTTGTGTTGCCATCAAGAAGTGTGCACTTCTCTCAAACACTTGGCCTGCCTTTTCCTTCCCATGGAGGACACTGTCACTCCTAGTTCCTTTTCTGCTGTGGGCTTTGGGAATGTCTGAGAAAAGCCTGCTGCTCACCTTTGTGACAATGGAGGAGCCCGTGTCTTCTTTACCTATCTTCCAACTTCAGGCTTCTGTATGGCTCTATATATTTAATAAATATAAAATTTGTGCTACTTTTGACATCTTCTTTCCCAAGTTTATCATTTATCTTTGATTATGACTTAAATGTATTTAGACCTTTCCTGTTTGTTATAAAGTCTCCTGTAAGCCTCATCACATCCACAGTGGGAAAAAAACTACTAAAGATAAACAAATAACTCACCTGTGACTCAATCATTTTCTGCTGCTCTCAGGAAACCTGCTGTTTTTGACTTCTGTCTGTTCTGACTCTGGAGAGAGGCCTCTAGTGAAAGATCTGGAAACCAATACTATATTCTCATTCTTGAGAATCTCACATGAATTCTCTGCTTATCTCACATGAATAGTTTTGTTTCTGAGAGCAATGGTCTGTGAATGCAACAGAAATGTCATTTTAGATGAGGTCACTGGTCTGGGGACCTAAATCTTAGTTTTCTCTTTCTGGGAACTCAGTCTTGTAAAACCTCGGACTAGATGTTTGGTAGACACAATCAGGGCTGTGGGCTAAGAAATGGGAGGGAGCCTTGGCTTCTGGCATATCTTCTGCACCTGGCCTGCATCTGGGCCACGTCTCTTCCACACTGCAGTAACAACCCCGGTGCCTTCCAGGAAGTGCTAGAATGAAGTTGCTCACCTCCTTGGTCCAAGCAAACACCCCCCACAGGAGCAGCACTATGGAAAACTGCTCTGAAGAGACATGAAGGGATTGTGGAAATGCAATGATGATGACTCACTCCTTCTGCAGCAATGTTTCCTGGGGCAGGAATGACTTCATTAATTTAAGTGAAATTATTTGCCTAGATGTTATAAGGCAAAATGCAACTCTTTTATAGACAGGCAGAATGGTACTTAGGAAGTGACTACTAGATTAAGATGAGGGGCTAGGGATGTAGCTCAATAGTAGAGTGCTTCCCCACCATACATGAGGCCTGGGTTCAATCCCCATTACTGTAAAACAAACACAAAAAACAACCAATAAAAAAAAGCAGTTTATAAAAGACCACAAGGTACACATCATATCATTTTAGGCAGAATTACAGGAAAATACAGAACAAGATTTAAAATAAGTACAATAAACTAAACAAACATATCCCACATCCTGATGCACACAAACAGAATTTAAGTTTCTTCACGGCCATGGACCAAGTCACTTATGTTCAACCAGATATAGAATCAGAACCAAAGACTTCAAGGGCTCAGGGTTATGCAGGAAAATCACTTTCTTCATAAGAGTAAGATTACTCTTACTATTACTAAAGGAAATGTTGAAAAAAACCTTAGCCCATAAATTTTGGGACAAGAGGGATAGAACCCTACCTCACACAACAAAACTGCTCACCAAAACTGTCCAGCACTTGCAGTTAACACCTGCTGTGTACTCGGGTGCTCCAGGCATGATGGTGTCCATCCCCAAAGTTCCTTTGTGGAAGCAGGCCACAGCAAGCCCACACTCAGTCTCCATGGGCAAGAAGCCTACAGCCTAGCATGGATGACCAAATGTGGTCAAGGAGTCAGAAGGCTCTTTTCCAGAAAACAGGTGAAACTGAGCAAGAAGACGTACAGCATGGGCTCTCTGTCCTGTGTCTCAAATAATACCAAAGGCTGCTGAGGAATGTTGTGGGAAGACCATATCAACCAAGGTCCTCATGCAGAGGGCTGAAGTTGGACATGGCCAGGGACAGAACAGACTATGGATTATAACTAGCAAGGCGGAAGTTATAGAAGGCAACACCCTGAAGCCAGGGGGGTCGCTGAAAACTTTTAAAAAGGAAACACTCAAGTAAAAGTAGTTCCTGACCAACAGTCACAAGCTACAATGAGAGGACAGAATACAAAAAATGAGTATGATTATTTAACAGAAGTTACCTGTGAGAGGCTTGTCTGGGCCCACACATGACCAACACCCATTCGGCCCTGCCTCCAGTCCCACAAACATGGGACCCCCACACATCTCTCCCTTAGTGACCACCTAAGAATCCTCCAGCTCCACATCCCAAGACCTCTGCAGATCACAAAATCCAAAAGGCCCCTCTGTAAACCTCCAGATCACACAACCACTGAACCCCATAAATTCCACTATCACTTGCCCCAGTAACCCCCTCATCCCCACAGAATCTCAATTACCAATTGCACAGCCCCATAGTCTCTTCTCAACAGGCCACCCTTCTAGGGCCTTCAGTGACATGCACTGTAGGTTCCTTAGTGACTCTCAGTGGCCTTATGATAGCTAGCATCTACAATCCTCAACCACTGACCTCAGACTGGCACAGGATTGGCATTGTGTGCCAGGATAACCAGAGAGCATGTGGCTCCCTGCCAATGGCAAACAAGCCAGAAAGCTCCAGCTTCCCTCTCATCAACACCCACAGGCCCAACTTCTCCCCCCTCACCCTTCACTCCATGCTTATCACAGACACCTACAGGCATACTAGTCATTCACCCCAACAGGCCACCCAAATATGAAACCTCATTCATGAGTCACCTGTCATCTCCGGCCTCCTTGGCTCAAGCTCCTCGGCACTCAACTCCAACCCCCTCAAGTAACAATGCCAATCCATGTAGGGCATAAATCAATGGGACCCAGAGTTTCTCCACACCCCCACCAATGATGACATGCTCAGGACTGGAGCTTCAATCCTGACCCTCCAGTGCATGCTCAGAGTACCCACGCCCTCACTTACTTGCCCTGGTGCTGGCCATTCCCTTATTTTTTATTTTTATTTTTTGTGGAACTGGGAATTGAGCCCAGGGGGTGCTCTGTCACTGAGCTATATCCCTAGCCTCCTCCTTTCTTTTGCTAAGTTGCTCAGGCTGGCACTGAACTTGTGATCCTCCTGCCTCAGCCTCTCAAGCTGCTGGGATTACAGGAGTGTGCCACCACACCTGACTAGTGTGTCAGTCATTCCTAAGTCATACTGGGCTCTCAATCACTTGGTCCCATGGCAGCCACAGAGTCATCCCTATAGCACTGAGGCCCCAATCATAGGCTTACCCAGCCCTTCAACGACTTGTCCATTTACTGACTAAAACCAAGTCAGTGAAATCCCTGTGAGTCTCAGTAAGTCCCAAAGGACGCCAACCACTCTCTCCTCCAGTTTACTTGCCCTCACAGCTGCCCAATGTGTTCTCACAGAGCCTCTCATCACTGACATCCCCAGCCTTGCTATCTTTCTTTCACTGCTGCTCCAGTCATTGAACCCCAAGGGACACCCAACCCCTTATCCCACAGGGTGCTCCTGCACATTCTCTAATTCATCCCATGTTTGCCCACCATTCACCGGCAGCCTCACAGGCTCTCCTGATGGCCACCCTGCACACAACTGATACTAAGCCGCTCCAACCACTCCAATTACTAGCCCCACTGTTCACTCACAACCCCCACCAAACCAACACTGACTTATATCCACACAGTGCCCCAATTTCTGATGCCTCCATCAAAAAATCCTCAAACACAGCCTAGAGAAGAAACTCAGCCACTCACCTCCCCTAAAACAGCAATCACTAGCAGATAAACAAATCCAGAGTAAGGAGACTTACCTCCCAGGGATTATTATGGGGTAGGAAAAGGGAAATGGGGGACCACAATAGGGAGGATGTGGGGCCCTTGGATCTACACTCATCTCTGCAAGGCAGAAAGCAGTTTCTTTCACAGAAAGGAGTAAAGAAAGTTAGAAAGAATCAGGTGAGGCAAAGTGGGATTAAAGAGTGGGGTGAACAGGATGCAAACCAGAGACTTTCTGCCTGCTGTGAGGAGAGGCTGTACGAGGGCCAAATTTCATGGAACTGGAGGAAAAAACAGTCCATGTTTGCTAACCAGATTTTTTGTCCTGCCTGATCCATGGGGTTCACTAATCACTGCTGAGGCAAAGAATGAAAATGCAGAGGATCCGTGTCTGGCTTATCACAGGCAAACAAGGGCACTCTTGGGACTTACCTAGAACGTGTACAAAAGGAGCTTCTCTGCAGTGAGCCTTTTCCTGGAGATTTCTGAACCTCCGCTGTTTTCCAGGAGCACAGAGCTCAAGTAAAACCCAACGTCTTCACAACCAACAGGACTTCCAGTTAATGAAACACACAAAACAGATACACCACAAAAGCATCCTTCCCAGCCTGCAAACGAATCACTGGCAACCAGAGTCTTAGTTAACCTACAAAGAAACCCGATAGACACAATCACGGGTCTGCGGATGCACTGGGCCCCAGCACAAAGAACTGACGCCCAAGGGCTACCCAAGGAGTCTCCCACAAGTCTTCCGAGGGCCTTGAACACTCAGCCCTCAATCCCAAATTGCCGTTTTACAGACGCGCCCCTGCCCAACCCTCAGGTGTCTACAGGTTAACTATCCACACACGTCCAACAGGCAGGTACGCCAGAGACCGCCCCGGCCCCGCCACGCCCGGGCCCCGCCACGCCCCCGCCACGCCACGACACGCGACACCCACCTCAGGGACACTTATCCACAATCCGTTCCTGCCGGAGCACGCGCTGGGGGCCTCTGGCGGGCTTCCGCGAGCCTGAATCAGAGCGGTTTCTGCACAGGGGTCACGGGAAGTACAGGCCAGACGCCGAGGCCTCCCGACGCTCAGCCTCTGTGCCGCCTGCCCCCACTCCGCTCACCATGACAGCAGGCCTCACAACGCCCAGGCCTGACGGCGGCGGAAGTGTCAGTGCAGAACTACATTTCCCAGAATCCCGCTCGCTCGGGCGGGGCTGTACTTCCCAGTCTGAGGCTTTGTTTCCAGTGGTCTCAGGCTGAGTCTGGAAGTTGCCACTTGCTTTATCCAACATTTTAATTTTGGGGTTTTATCATCATGGATTAGTGTAGATCTAATATACTCATTTAAACTGCTCTAGAATGTATTAATGAATATATATGCATAGAATTTGTCTATCAAATCATTTAAAATACTTTTTAAAATTAATATATATGTAATTTTAGTTGTTGATGTACTTTTATTTTTTATTTATTTATATGGGGTGCTGAGGATCTAACCCAATGCTTCACACATGCTAGGCAAGCACTCTGCTACTGAGCCACAATCTCAGCCCCTTAATCTACTTTTATAAATGGTGCATGAAGCATTCTTATGTTTGTCTTGATTTCATATTCAAGTTTTCTCTGATATGTAAATGAATCAGTAGCTCCAAAGGTAGATTGTAAGTTATGAGTAGCTTCAGCTTTACTAGAGTTCATCAAATAGGTCAACAAAATGGTTATATCAATTATCACTACTGTTGTAGGGAAAACGAGGCAAGGCACCAAAGATAGCAGGAAACAGTTTTATTTGGCTTCAGCCAGGTTCAGAGGGCATAGCTTTTGCTATAATCAATTAATCCTCTGAACCCCGAGTTCAGGGAGTTTCAGAGTTTTATACCCAGCATGGAAGGGGAGGGGCTCAGAAGTTCACAGTCTGCAGAGGTCACATAAAAGCAGCTTTTTTTCTTTCACTGTTTTGGGCAAGTTAACTCTTCAAGGACAACAGCTGAGAAGGGGAGAGCATCTTCTCCCCTTTCTTTGCTCCCCCTGCCAGCTGTTACCATGGAGCCCATTTGTAACTTATCTTAAAGATGTAGACATCTCTGTGAAGTCCCAGCTCAAGGCCAGAGGCCTTGTTTGCACATTTCTTCAAAGTACTATACTAGATAAGTTTGTGAAAAACTAGTAAGGGGTGTCCAGCACCTGGAGTGCTGGTATCTTTTTGGCCAGTGGCCAAGTAAAACAGGGCGACAGGAAAATAGGAGGTTTATCTACATTGAACTCTTTTGCAGAGACTCTTTTGCTGACAGTCCTAAAATCAGACTGGGTGAAGATTTCTGGAGAAGCCCAGTTAAGTCTTTTCTGTGGAGAAAGCGGGTGCCACTTCACTACCTAGAGCAGAGTCCAGGAGTTTCCATTTGTTTACTACACTATCTACGTTATTATAATGTACTTTTAACTACATTGCTTCTAATCAACTTGTTAAGATTATGAAATTTCATAATGTGTGGTCACTTTATTTGAAAAAAGCAGCTTCTCCTACAAATTCTTAAAAAAAACATTGCCTTCAGTTTTATCTGTATTCCCCTGCCTCATTCAATATTTATTTAACAGAACACTTTTAGAAAAGATTTTCAGGCAGAAAAGTTTCTTCATTTGTATTGATAGTTTTGTTACATTATTATTGGACAGAATTGTTTCATCTGTTTTGAATAAAGAGCTCATATATCTGCTATTATTGATGTGCTTCTAGTTATTTCTCTACATCTACTGTATTTTTTCCTTTATGAAGTTGGTTACCATATTTGGTGCACTGATGTTCAAAAATGCTACACAACTCTGTGACTCTCAACTCATAGTACAAAGCATTATTTTTGTATGCCTGCCATGTACAATTTATGCCATTACCATAGCCCAAACATGTTTATGTCTTTCCACTATTTCAGAATATATTGAATAACAAATTCACAAGCTACACTGCTTACATTGGTTGCAGTTTTCAGAGTATTGGAGGGTCTCTTTATAGTCATGCTCCTGGCAATCAATCACAAGTTCTTTATTCCTTTCCAGCCTTTTTTTTTAAAGTTCTTTTCTTTAATTTTTCCATTCCAGTCTTAATTGCTAATATCTTAAACACTCAAGTCAGACATCATATTGTGTGTGTGTGTGTGTGTGTGTGTGTGTACGTGCATGCCCACACACTACAAGAAGTGTTAAGTATTAAGGCAGCCACAGGGCAAAGGCACAGACCACTTGCAAATTTATTGCTGTATGTAGTCAAATTCGGGTTTTTTAATTGTTGTTTTTGTGGTGCTGGGGGCTGAACCCAGGGCCTTGTGCATGCCAGGCAGACACTCTACCATAAAGGCACATCCCCAGCCCCTGGTTTTAAAAGAACCAACTGAGTTGTGAAAAGAAAGGTTCAGGGTGTCAGCTTGAGGTATCAAGTTGGAGTGGGTTCTGTTTTTGTCACTGGAAGAGAAACTGAACTGGGCTTAAGATTGAGAACAGGGAATTTTAAAATTCATCACTGTGATTTTCCTGGGCAAGGCTGTAACAAATGATCAGGTGATGAGGTCAGGGTGCCCCCATGTCCACGATTGGTAGAGTACTCCTCCTTTTATGGAGCTTGTTGTGGTGTATACTAATAAATACAATCAATAAGAGTGTAAAATATAGATTATAATATTTTGATAAGTGAGATAAGACAATTATAAAGCAAGAACTGCCATAGACAGGCCTCAGACTCCATTTTGCTGCCTTCTTTAAAACACTGTTACAAGAGGTGTTTCTGAGAAACTGAAATAAAGCTGTTTTCTTAAAAAAAAATGTTTTTCTGTAATTTGTACTCCACGAATTGTACCCTACTCAGGATGCAGCGGTGGTCTTGGTGAGCTATATCCTGGGTTTGAATGCCCTTGTGGGTCTACACAACTTCGAAGTAGATTCTCACCCTGCCAACCTCTGCCCAAGTTCAGGATGCGACTGTCTAGCATTTATCTGCTTGAACCCAGGACGGTGGTCAACTGAACTGCAAAGCTAATGCTATTTTGGCTTCTGTTTATCACTTGCTTGCTGATTGGAAAATTCCAGTCCTGCCTAGAGCCCAAGGTCCCACTTATCAATGTTCTAATTTCTATGATTGGCTAGCTTACATGATGCTAAACAAGTCATTGAGTTGGGGTCTTTGTGATTATATTTTCTTTGGATGGACCTGGAAGCTGTTTGAGTCTTTACAGTGGGTGACAGTACCTATCCAGGTAAATAAAGCTCTCTTTTGATTTGAAATTTAGACTTAGGTGCTTTCTGAGGCTTCTCCCCATAACAGGGTTAGGTAAGGGGGTCACTTCTGGTGAGGTTGATAAGCCCCTTTGTCTGGTGTCTTTGATATGATTTCGGATGTTCACCTGTACAGATGTTTCTGGGCACGAAATGAGTTATTGATCAACTTGTACATTATGGTGGTGCTGGGCAGGTGGCAGTTGCTGACTTGCATAAACTAGGTGTAAAGTCACTCTGCCTCCCACTTGGACTCAAAACCGAGTGGGGCGGAGAACAGCCTTCGTCCCCTCGCCCTTTGCGGGGGTCCTGGGAGCGTGGGCGGAATCCCTTCCGCTCCTCGCCCCCACAGGTCGCGCTGTGACGCACTTCCTCCTAGTGTAGAGGGAATGCAGGCGGTGGGCGGGGCTGGCGGCGGACAGGGGCGGGGCACGTCCCTCCCGGGCTCAGGCCCGGGGCAGCGCCCGGGTGCTGATCTGCAGGGCGTTCCGGGACGCTGCTAGCAGCTTGCGAACCTCCAGCCCCATCACCCGCCCAGGCCGCCGCGCCGACGGGGGCAGCAGAGAGGAGACTCCGAGGGGCGCCAGGCTCTCCGCGCCCGTGGGGATGGCCGCCAGGGTCCGGACGGCGCCGTACTGGGTAAGCAGGGCTTTCTCGTGCCTTTGAAAAGCGACCTGGCACTTCATCCCTGCTGTCGCATCCAAGACCTGACGGGACCTGAACCCGGCGGCCCCTGGGATCCAGAAACGCTCCTTATGGTATTTTGCGTCCGGCGTCGTCTTTGGCAGTCACCCTTCGTTGCCAGCGGTGGGCCCAGATTTCTGAGATTCCTTGTTTAAGGAAAGATCTTCGTTTGTCTTTTTATGCAGATCCATAAGAGTTCTTTGGGGGGGGGGGAATTACTTTCTTCTTTCGTTTGTGCAAGTGCTTATTTATTAAGTGACTTGGTGTTCACTCCCTGAGGTTGGTGCTTGCAATGCGAAGGTAAATTACTTTTCTTGTTTCAGGGAATCTGTGGTCGGATGCGAAGGGAAATCAAGTGAACAGTGAGGAAGGAGGACAAGAGATTAGCTGGAAAGTGCAAAAGAGAAAGACGCAGGGGTTTTTTGTTTTTTTACAGAGGAAGGGGATAGTGGATCTTTTGGACTTTGTGATTGTTGGAGTAAAGATGAGTGATTGGATTGCTGGACCTGTTGCACTACGCGGGTGGTTGTAGCATTTCCTGAGACAAAGATCACTGTTAGAAGAGATAACCCCAGAAAGACTCTCAGATGTTGAGTATGCAGTGCCTGTGCGTAATCTATAGCTCCCGTGGGCAGACCAAACTGGAAACACACAGACTGGGGACACATTTATTCCAAGAAACTCAGAGTGTGACCGAGTAGAACCCTGAAGAGCACCAAGTTGAGGATTCAGGATAATGACGAGGAAAGGATGTGAGATGAAGGACCAGAGTGCAAGAGAAGTGAGAGAAAGGAAGAGTGATTTTCCCCTAAGCTTGAGAAAAGAGAACTTCATAAAAGCCACGATATGAAGTGCCACAGAAAATTAATAATTCATGAGAAAAAAGGTTTTTATCTGTTTGATTTGGGAATGTGTAGTCTCAGGAAATTTTCCAGAGTAGAGCATTTTGGGGGTGGTGAGAGTGAAGGAGGGCTTCAGGTGAAGGGCAGCAGGCTGAAGGAACTGATCAGCAGCGGTGGGGCTGTTGGGTCATGTGGAAAGGGGAATTAGGGTGCCAGGGAGAAGGGCACTTCAAAGTCAGTGAACTTTTTGTTTTTAAACAACTATATAGAAAATATAGTGAGATAAAATAGCCCTGTTTACCACAGCAATTTAAAAAACAAGTGAATTTAGAATATCTGGTAAAACTAACATTTTAAAACCATTGAATAATGTTAATAGCTATTACTGTTGACTAGCTCTCTTAAGCTCTTTATGTATGAAGTCATTCAAGCCTCATGGCTCTATTTTACAGGTGAGGAAACTGGGAACCTGACATGGTCCCAAACTACTAAGGAATACTAGGAAAGTAGGATGACAAAGCTAAGATTCATACCCAGGCAGTTCCTCTCTAGTATGTGCTCTCATTGCTTCTCAGCACCCCAAAAAACGTTTTAACAAATGTAAACAGAATTTTCTTGTTTTTGAGTGCATGTATTGATTTAACAAGCACTTATTGACAACTGTTAAATGTTTCCCAGAGGCCTTTGCGTTAAAAGCTGATCTCCAGGGCTGTGCTCTTGGGAGGTGGTGGAGACTTAAGCCTAGTAGGAGATTTTAAGTAATTGGGGACATGCCCACAATGGGGACAACGGGACTCCCCCCTTCTTGTAATCATCTCTACTTCCCAGCCCTGAGGTAAGCAGTTTTGTCCCCCCTGAGCTCTTGCGCACATGTGCTGCTACGGCCCACTGCAGTTGGGCTACCCAAAAGTAGCCTAAAACTCTGTAACTAATACCCTTTTCTCCTAAAACAGTTGATTACCTTAGTTATTTATCACATTAATGGAAAGTTTACTAACATAACTATTTGCCAGATACTTTTCAAGAGCATGCAGGTATATTTTCTTTTTTTTTTTTTTAATATTTATTTATTTATTTTAGTTTTCGGTGGACACAACATCTTTGTTTGTATGTGGTGCTGAGGATCGAACCCGGGCCGCACGCATGCCAGGCAAGCGCACTACCACTTGAGCCACATCCCCAGCCCCAAAGGGTATATTTTCTAATGGACAAAGACCGAGTCCATTACCCCTACGGGGAAAATCATCAACGCTTAGAGGAACATCACTTTAAAAAGTTGTGAATATTATATGTACAAATGAGAGAGGCTGGGTGGCTTCTTCAGGTAGCAGAGTCAGGAAGCTCTCTCTTGAGGCAACATTTAAACAGTCTGAAGCGCGCCACCGCTTGAGCCACATCCCCAGCCCAATATTATTAGACTTTTAAAGTGAAGAATCATGATGAAAAACCTTGGAGTTGTTTTGTTTTGAAGTAATTTACAAACTAAGAGAAATTGCTAGAATAGTATTTTTAAATTTCCCGTGTTGTAAAATAAAAACAACTTTCCGAGATGGGAATGGTTGTGCACACCTGTTGTCCCAGTGACTTGGGAGGCTAAGGCAGGAATATAACATGTTCGAGGCCAGTCTCAGCAACTTAGTGAGACCTTGTCTCAAATTAAGAAATAAAAAGGGCTGGGGGTGTTAACTCAGTGGTGAATTATTGGTTTCCATCTGTGGTACCACATACACACAAAAGAAAAGTTTCTGTGCACCTTCATCTAGATTCCTCAGTTGTTACAATTTTGTAATCATTTGCTTTATCATTCTCTATGTATCCATGTATGTGTGTGGGTGTGTATACATATGCACACACATTTTCTTCTCTCTGCCTTTAAAAGCCCTCTTGCCTTCCCACCTCATCTTTTTACCCTACAGACTTTTTTTCTTGTTATATGTACATGGACACAATACCTTTCTTTTATTTATTTATCTTTATGGGATGCTGAGGATCGAACCCAGTGCCCCCCACATGCTAGGCAAGTGCTCTACCACTGAGCTACAACCTCAGCCCTCCCTACAGACTTCTCTCCCTCCCCCCCTCCTCCTCGTCTCCCCTCCCCCACCCTTTCTCTGTCATTTTTTATGGACACAAATGCTGTAGGGTTATATTCACAGTATAAAAGATTGCTTCATTCCTGTTGAACCACGATGCAAAGAAAAGACCTCGGACTCCAGTTTTAAACCAAATTAAAGCAAGTTTATATTGTGTACACAAGAGAGCTGACCAGCGACTGCCTCACCTGAAAAAATAGGCCAGAGGACAGTGTCTGATCTAAGGGCAAGGGAGGGGGGTTTATAACAAAAGTTACAAAGGTGATGTCTTGCGAATTTACAGCTGACAGGGTTCAGGCAAGCATAATACAGTAACCTATCTAGCAGGTTTATGATCTGCATAGCTTAACATCTCAAGGTAGGGAGCAGACTCATCAGAGTTGATGAGGAGCAGCTGGGATTTCAGGGAGGGTGGTTAACTGGTCAAGGAGAGCCAGGCACCTGTAAGTTCAAAGCATGGGCAGGAATCTCAAGCAAGTTTTTAAAACATCAAATTATGGTAAGGCCAAATAGAAATCTTAGTATTTTACAGTAAAACAGAAATGAACTTTTCATGACTTTGTGATGAGATGGCTCCCATTCTTAAAATGGAATTAGGCTGGGTTCATCAATTCCTTCTATTCTACTTCACAGAAAATTTTGCCATATACTTTTGTTTTGTTTTGTTTTTGTTACCGGGGTTATTGAACTCAGGGGCACTGGACCACTGAGCCAAATCTCCCGCTCTATTTTGTATTTTATTTAGAGACGGGGTCTCATTGAGTTGTTTAGTGCCTCGCTGTTGCTGAGGTTGGCTTTGAATTTGTGATCCTCCTGCCTCAGCCTCCTGAGCTATAGGGATTACAGGCGTGCATGGCTGCAATATACTTTTTGTTGTGCATCCTCCTTTGTGCTTTTTATGTCTGTTTTACCTGTAGGATTATGTACACAGATATCTGTTTTGTGTTTTACTGTGAAAATAGCTTTATAGATTTTCCTGTTTAGTGTGATTTCAATTACATTCTCTCTTTAAGAAGTGTTATTTTAAATAGCACCCCAAACTCTGTTGGCCATTGCTTCCCTCCTCTTAAGTATTCAGCAGCTTTGAGGGTTTTTGTCCAGATCTTTTCCTCAAGATACATGAGTTATTAATGTTGCTATTTCCCTGTAAATTTATTTGGTGATACAAAGAGCTCAGGCACATTCTGAGGGCTCTGACCTCATCAGTGCACCAATCCATCAATGCACTCATAGCTGAAGGGGATATTGGGAGATGATCACAATTGTCAGAGGTGGGACCTAGTTGGAGGGAATGAGTCCTTGGGGACACATTTTCAGGGACTGTATTTTGTCCCCCCCCTCCTTTTTTTTTCCTCAGGTATTTTGTCACAACAACAACAAAAAAGCTAAGGCATTAACTGGCTCAGAATAAAGGACATAGATGCAAAATGAAGGCAGAGATGCCTGTTATATGTACAGGCCCATTTGGAGAGTCTTTGTTTTTAATAAAAATAGTGTCCAAGTCACTGTTACAAACTCACTTCTCTGTGTTCTGGCTGTGAGAAATCCCAGCTTGTAACCACTAGGGAGCTTTACCTTTCTGCTCTTAGGTTTTGATATTCTGAAACTTTTCAATTTTTTTCATATATAAATGTTTCAATTTTAAAAATAATTGATTACAATTGTGAATTTAGGGGCTGGGGATGTGGCTCAAGCAGTAGCGTGCTCGCCTGGCATGCGCACGGCCCTGGGTTCGATCCTCAGCACCACGTACAAATAAAGATGTTGTGTTTGCCAAAAACTAAAAAAAAAAAAAAAAAAAAATTAAAAAAAATTGTGAATTTAATAGGTGATGGGGTGGACTTTCAGCTTTGCTTAATTCAACATTGAAAAAAGATTTGGGGTGCTAGAATGTGGCTCAATGGAGAGTGCTTGCCTAGCATGCATGAGGCTCTGGGTTTGATCCTGGCACCACAGTAATAAATTATTTTGGGCCAGGTAGGTGGCGCATTGCCTGTGGTCCCAACTACTTGGAAACTGAGGCAGGAGGATTATGTGAACTCTGCAGTTCTTGGCCAGTCTGGTCAACACAGCAAGACCCTACCTCAAAATAACAACTGCAGCAATAAATTTTTAGAGGAAAAAAGGTGTATTTGAGGGCTCTGTAGATAGCCAGCTCCATTCCTTGGGGCACCAGATGAGGCAGGACATCATGGCAGAAGTATGTGGTGGAAGAAAGCAGCTCACATAATGATCAGAAAGCAGAGAGAGACTCCACTGTCCAGGTTCAAAATATATACCCCAAAGGCACTCCCCCATGGCCCACTTTCTCTAGCCACTCCCCCATGGCCCACTTTCTCTAGCCACATCCGGCACTGATTGGGTTAATAATCATTTTACCTCTAAGCTTTCTTGCATTGTCTCACAAATGAGCTTTTGGGGGACACCTCATCTCCAAACTGTAACACAGACTCTTTTTTCCATTGTATTTTTATATTCATAAGACAGTGATTTGTGGCTTCTCTTGTTTTCTTAGCCTGGGTAGAAGCTTTCATTTCATCCATCTTTTCATAAAACCAGCCTATGGGTAATGATTATTTTCTGGTTTATTATTCCTTTTTTTTGCTTACTTTGTAGTTAATTTGGCTTTCCTTTCCTTTTTTCTTTTTTCCTATTCTCTTAATTTCTTAAGGTGGTAGTAAGGATGATTCAGTGACAAATTCCTCCCTAAGCACTTCTTTCATTGCATTACATATACTTCAATAAGTTGTACTTTCATTTTTGTTTAGTGTGAAATATTTTAAAGTTTCTCTCGAGACTTTTCCTTTGCCCTATTTGTTATTTATAAATGTGTTGTTGAATCTTTACGTGTTTGGAGGATTTTTCAATTAACTCTAGTTATTGATTTCTAGTTCCATTGATTTCTTGTTGTGTTTAATTCTGCTGTGTTCTGAGAGGATACAGTGTATGGGTTCAATCCTTTCAAACGTGTTAGATGTGTTTTAAGGCCTAGAATGTGGCCTTCTTGGTGAATAGTCCATGTGAGCTTGAGAAGACAGTGCACTCTGTTCTTGTGTGAAGGTCATAAAGAGCAGTTACATTCAGTGGCTGAAGGTGTCTTTGAGGTCAGCTGTGTCCATACTGATTTTCAACCTGTTGGATCTGTGTTTCTGATAGTGAGGTATTAAGGTATCTAGCTGTGATAGGGGAATCATCTGTTTCCCCCTGGGGTCCATCAGTTTCACTTCACCTATATTGACACTCTGTCATTGCACACATATAAATTAGGAATTCTTATTTCTTTTCTTTTTTTAACCTTTTATCTTCTTATGTGGTATACTCTGCCACTGAGCCACAACTGCCCTGTTGTTTCTTTTTATCCTTATGCAATGCAGTTCTTTATTCCTAATAACCTTCCTTGCTCTGAAGTGAGCTCTGTTTGAGATTACTGTGTCTAGCTTGACATGGAGGCACACACCTATAATCCTAGTGACTCAGGAGGCAGAAGCAGAAGGATTGCAAGTCTGAGGCCAGCCTGAACAACTTAGCAAGACCCTGTCTCAAAAAAAAAAAAATTGTTTAATTAACAGAAAGGGTTGGTAGGGTGCTCCTGGGTCCATCCCCAGTTTCACAGGAAAAGCAGAAAGGAAAGAAATACCTGTACTATCTACTCCTGCTTTTTTTTAATTACATATATATATATATATATTTTTAGTTGTAGATGGACACAATACCTTTATTTTATTTATTTATTTTTATGTGGTGCTGGGGATCAAATCCAGTGTTTCACACGTGTAAGGCAAGTGCTCCATCACTGAGCTATAACCCCAGGCCTCCTACTTTCTTTTGAGCTAGCACAAGTTTATCTTTTCTCATTCATTTACGTTTAATTAATGTTACGGGTTTTTTCTTCAGTTTTGGAGGTTTCTGTTGATATGTCCTCAGGCTTAGAGATTTTTTTCCCTTTGCCTTTTTCAGTTTACTGATAAGTCCATCAAAGGCATTCTTCATTTCTTTTTCAGTGTTTTTGATCTGTAGCCTTTCTTTTTTTTTCCCTTGAGATTTTCATCTGTTTGCCTATAGTACCCATGTGTCCTAGCATGCTGTGCACTTTACTCTTTAGAGCCCTTAGTATATTAATCCTGGCTATTTTTTTTTTTTTTTTTTTTGTGTGTGTGTGTGTGTGAGAGAGAGAGAGAGAGAGAGAGAGAAAGAGAGAGAGAGAGAGAAAGAAAGAATTTTAATATTTATTTTCCAGCTTTCGGCGGATACAACATCTTTGTTTGTATGTGGTGCTGAGGATCGAACCCGGGCTGCACTTATGCCAGGCGAGGACGCTACCGCTTGAGCCACATCACCAGCCCTAACCTGGCTATTTTAAACTTCCTGATAATTCCAGCATAATTGGGATTGCAGCCTGTGACAGGTTTTTCCCATGTGCCGTGCTGTGATCTGTTCTTTTCCCTCAACTCTTGTAAGTTTTCCTGGAGTTCCCTCACTGTCTCTCCCTCTGGGGTGTCCCTCCCTCCAAGTGTGTTTTTCAGGGATCCTGTGGGCATTCCACAGAGTCAGGGAAACCGCCTCCTAGAGTCTGCACCTGGCTGTGGCCTTAAGCAGTGTGGAGAGAAAAAGGGATCCAGCTGGGGCTGAAGCAGTTCCTTCCCCTGGCTTCCCTGGTGCTGCTCCCTCTGACTTCTCCACAGCAGTTAGAACATCTTTCAGAACATAGGGCAGAATCCATCCTCTTCAAAGCCTCTGGTGGCTTCTCAGTGACTTGGGATGCCCTTACCATGTCCTCCGGTCCCGTAGGCCAACTGTGTTTTCACATTCTCAGCAGAGAGCTGCCCATACCCTGTCTCCATTGCAGTGCCTCTGCCCAGCCACCTGGCTCTGCTCCCTGCCTGCATGGTTGGCGACAGCTCCTGTCCCTGCTAGCACATTGTGTGGCTGTACACTGACTGAGTGACAGCTGCTGCCAGATCCTGGGTGGGTGGGACGTGGGAGCCTGGTCTGCACAGGGCTCCCAGCCTTTCCCTATTCTAGCTCACACTTCTTTCTGGCATTCTGACTTTCCGTCCCAGAGGTTTTGGAGTTTCTGTGGGCAGATGGTTTACTCTTCACTAACAGCCCCTCTGCTTGTCTTTGGATTAGCTTCTCTCCTGGAGTTAGATACCACCTTTTTTTTTTTGGCTTTCTGTTTTCTAAAAATCTGCTAAAATATCTTAATACCTTCTCTTTATTTTTATTTTCCTTTTCTTGTGAATGTGTGTCTGTACGTGATTAAGGTGATTTAAATGATTCTCAATAAGAGAAGTTATTAGTAGTCTATCATGCTGAAATTTCCCTCCCTCTTCTGCCTACTGCAACTTACAAATCACTTTTATTTCCATATCTTTTTTAAACTTATTTTCATGTTTTCCTTCCTTTCTTCTTCTTCTTCTTCTTCTTCTTTTTTTTTTTTCTGTACCTGGGATTGAGCCCAGAGGCACTTAACCACTGAGCCACATCCCCAGCCCATTTTTATTTTTTGAGACAGGATCTCACTAAGTTGCTGAGGCTGGCTTTGAACTTACTTTGAACAATACTCCTACCTCAGGCTCTTGAGCTGCTGGGAATACAAGTGTGCTCCTTTGCACAAGCTGATGATTGAGTTTTAATTCTACTTTTCCAGTTGCTCTGTGTCTTTCCTGTATCACTTACTGTAATGACATCTGATTGAATGGGGTATATATTATTATAGGGCTTATTGTCATTCAACGATGTGTCCCTGGAGTTTTCTTGGGAAGAATGGCAGCTACTGGATTCTGCACAGAGGTACCTGTACAGGGAAGTGATCCTGGAAAACTATAGCAACCTGCTGTCAGTGGGTGAGTACTCAGACCCCAAGTCACACATCACCATACCTTTTCTTTTGTGATCTTCCCCCTGGAGCCTCTGATGTACTTAATGACTATGAACTTGAACTTTAGAGGTGAAGTTTTCCTCTTGGGCCCTCACCTCCTGGTTGTGCTGTTTCCCAAGGTACAGACGAGCGGTTCTGTTTTGTAGTTTCTGAGCCCTTAATTTCATCTCCAGCAGTTTGGCCCTCATCGTTTGTGATTTTTCCATTAACAGGATATCATGGTACCAAACCCGATTTAATCTTCAGATTGGAGCAAGGAGAAGAGCCATGGATACTAAATGCCAAAATGTCCACTCAGAACTGTCCAGGTGGGTAAGAGCTAGGAAGATGGGAGGTGTAGAGGTAAACTGGCTGTTCTTGAGAGCTTGGCACTGCTGGGTGTTGTGCATAGAAATCTTGGGAGTCCTTGAACCCTTGCAGCTGACTTACGATGAGACATGAGCGCCTCGGGTCAGCAGTCACGGACACACTGGGCCTCCTTCCTCCCTGGCTTTGAGAGGTAGGCATGCCCTTCTTCTGAGCTCTGCCCCACGGTTTGCCTCCTGGGTCAGTTTTCTTCTTTCCCACAGTCGAGGAGACCTTCAGAGAACTTCTTCCCCTGGCTCTGTGTGATCCGTCCTCTTCCCTCAAATTCCTTTCTCCTTTCTGGTGGGTGCAATGCTTAGACTCCACCCACAGCCCCACATCTGGTCTCACTGTATCACTGTGTGATTTCACACCTTCACACACTGGGCTTGCTCCCCAGTTCAGCCTCCTTCCATTCTGAACGTTTAGGTTTTTCTCTCCACTGTGGTATTACCGGCAGTGCCACCTTCCTCCTGTTCTCCTTCTGCACTTGGTGCTAGGGCTTATATGCCTGCAGGAGAGCTCCTCTGTGCTTTCCCAGGCTTCATTCTGGTGCAGAAATGGGAAGAAACTTCCTTCCAACATTGCCATTCCTCCCAGTTTCCCCCCTCTGTGGGCTTTCTGTTGTTGTGACAAAATGCCTAATAGAAACCACTGAAAGGAGGCAAGAGTTATTTTGGTTCATGGTTGCAGAGGTTTCGGTCTGTAGCTGCTTGGCCCCCCAGGAACAGTCCTATGCTGAGGCAGAGCATTGTGGCAGAGAGGACCGAGGAGAGCAGAGCTCTCCCTTCATGGCAGCCTTGAAGCAGGGAGAGAGAGGGAGGGCAGGAGGGAGGTCTTGAGAGAATGTAAGCCCTTCATAGTGTGCTCTCAGGGCCCACTGGGGCCACCTCTACCAGTGCCCACCACCTCCTAGGAATGCCATCACCTTGTGAATCCCTCAGTGGACTAAGCCACCGATGAGTTCAGAGCCCTGAGGGTGCAGGCACTCCCTAAAGCCCAGCTCTGAACCCTGCTGCCGTGGGGACACCCTGGGCCCCGCCCTGCCCGTCCCAGTGCTGTGGCTGCTGTGCAGCTGCTGCTGCACCCTGGACTGGGGCTCACTGGGAATTCTGTCTGCTTCCTTTCTACTTTGCTGATCTTTCAACTGCTTCTGCCTCCATTACTGTTTTGTCCTTTGAAAACTACCTTGTTGATACTCGTCTCCTCAGTTGCCACCCAGACTAGATCATTATTGTTGTAACTAGGAAGCTCAGATTCACAGTCATATCTAGGAGCTTTCATCGTCTTAGCTGGTATTGCTGGGTTTGTTTTCATAAGCATCCTGTCATTAGTCTGTGAAAATAAATGTATGTCTTCAATCCCGGATTTAACAAGAATAAAACAGTAAGGAGTCAGTAGCCTCTACTGGCAAGTTGTCTTCTATAGAGCTGCTCCAGACACTCCTCTTCTAGAAGGGCAGATGGCAGTCATTGTTGGCTCACCTTTCCCTGTAGAGAAAGGTCAGGGAGGGCTCTGTGCCCTGCACTTCCCGTGAAGCATCTTTTGTTGTCCTCTGTAGTCAGACCTTTTTTTTTTTTTAGTTGTGGATGGACACAGTACCTTTATTTTATTTATATGTGGTACTGAAGCTCGAACCCAGTCCCTCACACATGCTAGGCAAGTGCTCCACCACTGAGCCCCAGCCCAGGCTTTCGAGAGAATGCCCATTCTATGGGCCCTTTGAGTAGTCTGATCATTGCCCACTTCTGTTGTAGTAAGTCTTGGAGTAGTAAGGCTTGAAGAGTCAGACTGTTATCACACCAACCTTGGGGCTCCTTTCCAGACCTTGCAGGCTTCCAGTCTGTGATTCTGGGGGGTTCTGTTGTTTTCTGACTAATTCTGTTAAGCAGTAATCCAGCAATGGAGGAGTACTATGCAGAGGTGGTCTGCAAGGCCAGGCCTTCCTTCCAGCCACTTAATGGTTTCCCCTTGTGGTCTGTCCACTGCCTCACTTCCCAGTACAAACCCTAACTTGGGTCTTCCACTACCCTTGGAGTGGGGCTGTGTAGGAAGAGCTCTGGAGAAGCGGGTGTGCCGAGGCCCACACAGGGCCTTGCCTGTTCTGGTAGCCCTGGACCTGAGCAGTGCCCAGGCCTTCGCTTGCTGCCATCTCTCTTGACCCCTGGTCTGGTCATTACTATCAGTACCAGACAAGGTTTGGGCCTGGATCTGGGCTGTCACCTGCAGCCCTGGTCCCCTGGTGGTCCCTGCCTTATGTCACTTTGACATGCTGTGCACTTTTCCTGCATGCAGCACTCAGGCCCGGCTGTTGACTCACATGTGGGTGCGTGGGCACTAACCCCAGATGCAGCAGTGCCCAGAGCTGCCCTCTGCCTGCACCATGCTCTGCGTTTCTGAGGAGCCTTGCACCTTGTGTGGGAGCTGGCGATCCTCCCCTTTCCTCAGTCCCATGGCAGCCCCTCGGTGGGTACTCTGGTTCTTCCTCCAGTGGTTCCCTCAGTGTGGTCCAAGCCACTGTCATCGCATCCTCGCTGACTTGCTGATGTGCTTCTCTGCCCTTTTCTTTCTCATTGTTTATGTCATAACCAGACACACCTTTCTAAGGAAGAATATTATTAATGACGGTCTCCACTGAGCACCTCTGGGTGACAGGAGACTTTGCTTCTTGCTCTCTGCTCTGTTTCCCAGTGGGTCCTGGATGTGCTCATCCTTTCCTGTTTCCTGTTTCTTAAACCCTGCCAAGGAGTTCTCCTCAGGAAGTTTGTACTTGGCATTTCTTCTCGGTTTGAAGTGTTAGGCTTTGGGATTCATTCATCCTCCTTTTTAAAAATTAATTGTATTTTTTATACCTTTATTTTATTTCTTTTTAAGTGGTGCTGGGGATCAAACCCAGTGCCTCCCACATGCTAGGCAAGTGCTTCAACACTGAGCCACAGCTCCAGCCCTTCATCTTCCTTTTTTGCAGTACTGGGGATGGAACCCAGGGCTTCATGTGTGTTGGGCAAGCTCTACCACTGAGTCACAAACCGACTCTTTTATTTTACTCTGAGACAGGGCCTTGCTGAGTGGCTGGCGCTGGCCCGGAGCTTGCTCCCTCCTGCCTTGGCCTCCCGAGTCCTGAGATTGCAGGCGTGCCGCTGCTTCTAGTTTTGTTCTCCTTTCTAAAGTCTTGTTGCCATCAGACCTGAACATCTGGCCCCAGGAACCTTGTGTCCTCTGAATTGACTTTTTTTTTTTTTTTTTTTTTACTTGTAGTTTTTTTAACTTGTAGTTGGACATAATACCTTTACTTTATTCATCCATTTTTATGTGGTGCTGAGGATTGAACCCAGGGCTTCACACATGCTAGGTGAGCGCTCTGCCACTGAGCCACAGCCTCAGCCCCTGAATTTACTTTTTAATTAGGTAATAATCTCACAGTAATAAAATTCATATATAAAATAATTGGGAATTGGCCCCTAAGTACAGGGTAAGTTTTTTAAGCCCCTTTAGAAACCTCCCCCCACCTTTTTTTTTTCAATCACTGCTAATTCACTGCCAGTTTCATGAGGAGATTGATTCCAGTCTCCCCCTCACCCCTTGCCCCCTATGCTTGGCCAGTATTTCTTTTGAACAGTGGCATAGGCCTAGTAACACAATTTAAAAAAAAAGACTCTTTTTTTTTTGGTTGTGCTGGGACATGCATGTGAAGCAAATACTCCACTACTGGGATACACTCCCCAGCTACTACATGCATTTTTAAAGCTTTTTAATTAATTCCATATTAGAATTTAAGAACTGCATGGTGTTTTGTTTTTCCTTAGAAGTCTGGGAAGATTGGTACCAGAAAAATCAAGATGAGTTTGAAAGTATTGAGAGAAGTCATTCTTGTAATATGTTCAGAAAACTTCACATAAGCAAAACCCACGTTTCTTCAGGACAAAGACTCCATAAGTTTAATACACTTGGGAAACGCTGGACACAAAACTTGGGGTCAAGCAGAGGTTATGTAAGAAAGACGCCTGATGGTTTTCATGGGTGTGAGGAATCATGTTTTCTTAAGCATCAAAGAGCTCATAGCATAGAAAAATCCTGTGTATGTAACGAATGTGGGAAGGCCTTCCGTTGTAGGTCGCAGCTCATCGTGCACCTCAGGATCCACACAGGCGAGCGGCCTTACGAGTGCACCAAATGTGAAAGAGCCTTCAGTGCCAAGTCCAACCTGAATGCCCACCAAAGAGTCCACACTGGGGAGAAGCCCTACTCGTGTGCCGAGTGTGGAAAAGTCTTCTCGTTCAGGTCGCAGCTCATCGTCCACCAGGAGGTTCACACAGGAGGGAAGCCTTATGGTTGTGGCGAATGCGGGAAGGCCTACAGTTGGAAGTCTCAGCTCATTTTGCACCAGAGAAGCCACACGGGAGTGAAACCCTATGAATGCAGCGAGTGTGGGAAGGCCTTCAGTTTGAAGTCCCCATTCGTTGTACACCAGAGAACTCACACAGGAGTGAAACCTCACAAGTGCGCTGAGTGTGGGAAGGCTTTTAGGAGTAAGTCCTACCTCCTGGTTCACACCAGAATGCACACGGGAGAGAAGCCCTATCGGTGCAGCGACTGTGGGAAGGCCTTCAACATGAAGACACAGCTGGTGGTGCACCAGGGCACTCACACAGGGAACAACCCTCACCAGTGCAGTCAGTGCGGGAAGGCCTTCGGCAGGAAGGAGCAGCTCACTGCTCACCTGCGTGCCCATGCCGGGGAGAAGCCCTACGGGTGCAGTGAGTGCGGAAAGGCTTTCAGTAGCAAGTCGTACCTTGTCATCCACAGGAGGACACACACAGGAGAGAGGCCCTACGAGTGCAGCTTGTGCGAGAGGGCCTTTTGTGGGAAGTCGCAGCTTATTATACACCAGAGGACTCACTCTACAGAGAAGCCCTATGAGTGCAGTGAGTGCGAGAAGGCCTATCCCAGGAAGGCGTCCCTCCAGATCCACCAGAAAACCCACTCAGGAGAGAGGCCTTTCAAGTGCAGCGAGTGTGGGAAAGCCTTCACTCAGAAGTCCTCCCTCAGTGAACACCAGAGAGTTCACACGGGAGAGAAGCCCTGGAAGTGCTCTGAGTGTGGAAAATCCTTCTGCTGGAATTCAGGGCTCCGTATACACAGGAAGACGCACAGAGGGGACACCCGAGTGATGAAGTGAGCATGAGAAGCTGTCCTCAAAGGGCAACAGAGTGATGACCAGAGGTCCTGAAAATGCACTCACATGACGAGTCATGTGGGAGAGACCAGCACAGCTGGGAAGAGCCTGAGAAGCCCCCAGGAGGCAGTCACAGGGGACTGACGGGACAGGAGCAGTGAGCCTACCAGGTGTGGTGTTGTGAGAAGACTTGGGACAGTCATAACTGAGAACATCTTGCGGTTTACTCCTTCAGGGAAGCATTTTCCATAGGAACTGTGTTGCATGGAAAGCCACATTCCAAATTGGAAGCTATGTTTTTATAAAATAAAAAAAATTCATTATAAACAATAGACTTTTTCATGGGGGAGTATAAAAGTTTTTTATTTCTTTTTAATATGTAGATAAAGTAAAATCACAAGGCACTTATTCTGAAAGCTAAGGAATATTTTGTGTGACTTTCCTTAATTAACACTGAATAGCATTTTTCAAGAATTTGGCATTTTATTTTTTAATGTAACTTTCATATATATTTGATAGTTTGTGACACAACATCCCCCAGTATTCTCCGTATTAAATGCTAAGTATCAGCATTGTCTCCTTCTTTCTTTTTAGTTGTAGATGGACATACTATCTTATTTTATTTATTTATCCCTACTTGATGCTAAGGATCCAACCTAGGGCCCCACATGTGCGAGGCAAGTGCTGTACTACTGAGCCCCAGCCCCAGCGTCTCTTTATTTCTTAGCAATGTAACTAAAAGCATGTTGGGCTTATAATTGGAAGGGTAGGTTCCCCCCCCTGCAAGTGTATTTGCTCTCAGAAGTCACATCCAGGAGCAGGTCAGGATGGGGCTGCAGGGCTGCTTCTCAGGCCTGGTGGCCATGCCTGTGATTCCAGTGACTAAGGAGCTGAGGCAGGAACATGGCAAGTTCAAGGCCAGCCTCAGCAACTTAGCAAGACCCTATCACAAAATAAAGAATAAAAAGGGCTGGGGAGACAGGATTGTGGCTCAGTGGTAAGTGCTTACCTGGCACATGTGCAGCACTGAGTTTGATCCTCAGCACCATATAGAAATAAAGGTGTCCATCTACAATTTAAAAGAAAAAAAAATTTAAAGCATTGATGGGGGGGGGGGCGCTGGGGTTATGGCTCAGCGGTAGAGCACTAGCTTCACATGTGCGAGACCATGGTTTCTATCCTCCGTACCACATAAAAATAAATATGTGAAATAAAGGTATTGTGTCCAACTACAACCAAATTTATATATATATATATATATATATATATACACACACACACACACACACACACACACACACACACATAAAGGCTGGGGATGAAGATGTGGCTCAGTGGTTAAGCACCCCTGGATCCAATCCCCAGTATAAAAAAAAAAAAAAACAACTTTTTAAATCAAAAGTGGAAGTACAAAACATCACATAGCTGCACATTTTCATAGAAATACTGAATGAATGAATAAACTAGAAACATTGGTTGCCTTGAGGTTGTGAGACTGGAGTAAGGGGTGGGACAATTAACTGAGTGTGTCTTTTTGTATATTTTTTCATTATTAATACATAATGTACAAAATAATGGATTTCTTTGCAACATTTTCATACATGCATATAATGTGCTGTGAGTGTATCCACCCTCCCCTATGTATAGTTCCTAAATATAATACAACTAATGTTCTCATCCTTAAGAACTTAAGGGAATGAGTGAATTCTAGTGAGGAGTTGGTTTTTCACAGTGATATGGATAGGCAATACTAAAACTAATGTGTATTCCAGACCAAGCAAGTAATTATAGTATGGAAAATGAGAGCCAGGTTTCTCACTGTTGGCAAAGGAAGTTAGGAATTTTGATGAGGAACCCCTGTGGTGTTGGACTGGAATGGGAAGTGTCAGTATGAATTCATGACTGTGTAAAGACATAGACACAGATGTGCATATTTCTTGCACTGTATCCTGACAGATCTGAGACACACTTACATCCAATAAAAATAAGCACACTGGCTGTTCCTACTTTGCTGTCTAACTACCATTTCCCACTGTAAGGAACTAGAGAGCCTTGGAGAAATGGCTCAGTCTAGGGCTGCAGTTGGGAAAATATGGGATGAAATTTGATTATCTTGCTGTGCTACAAAGTAAAGAAGTACTCAAAAGAGGATGGGATAAGGAGTTCCTCTTCCAGCACGCAGACTAAGGAGCTCTTTGGACTGAATCCCAGTGAAGCTGCAAAGAATTTAAAATCTCTGGAAACAGCAAAAGGACATACATCAAATGGAGAAACATATTCAAGAAAACCTACTAAACTTGGTGTGATGAATGAGAGTCCATGGCATCTGAGCAATATCTTACTCCCTCCTTTCCAGCTCACCGTGGTGGAAACTCCACTTGGGAAGTGTAAAAAGTCCCAGGGTTTCCACTCCTCCAGCTCCCAGCTGAGGCCTACGGTGCCTCTTCAGGCCCTGCCCCCACCCCCAGCTACCCATGGCAGAGATGAAGTACCGCACAAGGGTTCCCAAGATGTGGGTGCTCCTTTTCCATCCAGCCTTCACTCATGGGCTGGAGGCTCCACATGAGGTCTAGCATGTTGAGAATACAAGGACCAAGTCATCCTCACCCAGCCCGCACTCCCTTCCTTCCTCCCTCCCTCCCTCCCTCCCTCCCTCCCTTCCTTCCTTCCTTCCTTTTTTAAATATCATTATTTATTTATTTATTTTTATTTATTTATTTGTATGTGGTGCTGAGGATCGAACCCAGGGGCTTGCACATGCAAGGCAAGTACTCTACTGCTGAGCCACAACCCCAGCCCACTCTTTAAAAGTAGAGATTTCACACCAGGAGAGACAAGCTGAGAGCCCCAGAGACCATAGCTCTTTTTCATCCCCCTACTGAGCTTCCATATCCTAAGGTAGGGGTAAGTCAAAGAAAAATGAGCCATTGTCCCCACCTCCAGCTCCAGGACTGTGACTCAAAATTATGCTCATGGGGAGAGGCAGAGTTCCAGGTTTTTCCCTAAAGGAACTGGCTTCATGGGCTGGAGTGTAAGTCCAGCCTATAGGATCCTCCAATGAAGTTGTGATGCTATGGAATTAAGAGGAGACTGGTAGACTCATTGGAGACAAAAGCTAAGTTCCTAATTTGCTGGAGTTACCAGGGAGAGAGACAGCTAAAATACACCCTCCTGGGGTCCTAACATAGCCAATGACCTCAAACACTATTCCTGTAAAGCTGCCCAGATTTAATTGAATCAGATGTTAGAATAGATTCAGTTACCTCTAAGGTCAAAACAATAGCTAGCAATTAATAGTCAACAGCTGACGAAGAGGGAGAAGACCCTGCCAAAACTGTCATCACAGTGATGGTAGGTGATTGAGTCTGCACTCTCATTGAGTCTGACATTAAAGATGTCACCCCGTGGGACAGAAAGACCTAAGTAACCTGCCAGTCACTATGCCAACAGTTGGCTGTAACAATTATGATTGCCTAAGGAGCCCATATACAAAGTTGAGTTTTTACATTATCTAAAACATAAAAAGAAACAGGAAAGTCTGACTGATAATGTGAGAAAAACAGCAGGCAACAAAATTGCCTTAACAGAAACAAAAACTTCCTGTAGGCATAACCAAGTAGCAGATAACATAGACTTCAAAGCAGCTGTTCTAAGAATGTTCAAAGAAATAAAGGAAGGTATGAAGATAATGTTCATCAAATAAGGAATATTAAAATAATAATAATTAAGTAGAGAAGATCATCAACAGATTTGAATTAGAAAAAAAGAATTTAAAAAACTGACAAGTTGATCGTGGTTATGTAATCCAAAGAAGAGAGGGTAAGAATGAAGAAAAATAAATAGCCTCAGGTAAGTATGGGACAAAATCAAGCATACCCACATAGGTATAATGGAAATACCTGAAAGAGAGGAGAGAAAAGGGAGCCCAAAAGGCAATGAGAGGCCTAAAAACTTCCCAAATTTGTTGAAAAGTTCTCATCTATACATTCAAAAAGCTCAGTAAACTTCAAGTTGAATACATGCAAAGAAAGAACATTATCTAACATATAATATTAAAAATGCTGAAATCTGAAAAGAAGAAAATGTTGAGAGCATCAAAGAGAAATGGAACACAAGGGAAATCCATTAAGATCAACAGCTAACTTGTTTTTAGAAACAGTGGAGGGCAGCAGGAAGTGGGGTGTTCAGGGGGAGCTAGAGTGCCAACCAAGAGTCCTATGTGTATAAAGCGGTGCTGCTCCCCTCCACCTCCCCTGCATGGAGAAGTGGACTCTGTCAATAACTCCATGAGGAAGGAAGAAGAAAGGTGGGAGCACGTTGTGTCAGGCCCGGGAAAGGACTCCAGATAGTAACTTAAGGCCAGTGCAGCAAATGAATAGAATCAGAGAAAACAAATGGCAAGCATAACAAAAGGTGTAAATACACACTTCCTCAGCTTTTTAAAAGATATAAAATTAGTAGGCATAGTGGTACAAGCCTGTAATCCCAGTAACTCGGGATGCTAAAGCAAGAGGATCACAAGTTCAAGGCCAGTCTGGGCAATTTAGCAAGACCTTGACTCAAAAGAAATTTTAAGGGGCTGGGGCTTTGTTGGGGTTGTAGCTCAGTGGTAGAGCATTTGCCTAGCATGTGTGAGGCCCTGGGGTGGATCCTCAGCACCACATATAAAATAGATAAAGTTATTCTGTCCATATACAACTGAAAGTAATAATAATTTTAAAAGGGCTAGGTAAATTCAGTGGTAAAGTCTCCCTGGGCTCAATCTCTAATACCCTCCCCAATAATAATAACAAATGAATAATAGGATTGTTTTTTGATACTGGGGATTGAACCCAGGGGTGCTTAACCACTGAGCAATATCCCCAGCCATTTTTTAATAAAAAATATTTAGAGACAGGGTCTTGCTGAGTTGTTAAGTGCCTCACTAAGTTGCTGAGACTGGCTTTGAATTTGCCATCCTCCTGCCTCAGCCTCCTGAGCCGCTGGGATTACAAGTGTGTGCCACCACACCCAGCTCAAAAATATTTTTAATATCTGATTCAAATTAAAGTAGTATAAATCAGTAGTAGCTATCCCTGGAGGAAGTAACTAAAAAAATGGTGAAAAAAATCTCTAAGAAAAAGGCATTACAAGCTTTAAGCTACCCATAATCCCAGTGACTCAGAAGCCTGAGGTAGGAGGATGGCAAGTTCAAGGCCAGCCTGGGCATCTTAGCTCTTTCAGGATTCTGGCACAGAGAGGACATCTGGGCCTTCAGCAGGAAGTGTGTTTATGAGTGCTGGCACGGGCTCAGCAGATTCTTATTCAGAGGTGGAGGGCCCAACCAGGAGTCACATCCTTATCAGCTCTTGTCAGCCTTCTCTTCATGCCAGCTCCCATGCAAGGTAACAAGGTCTGCCTGGGAATTGTATCTGTATACTATATGGTTGACACAGTGTTACAAAAGACTTGTGGAATGTGCACACTGATACTGATGGTACCATATTTCCTTTGTTTTGAGAAAGTCCCTACCACATAGCAAGACCCGGTCGCAAAAGAAAATGATAAAAATGGGCTCTTGAAGTTTAGCTCAGTGGTGGAGCACTTGTCCAGCAAGTGAAAAATCTCTGGAATCAATCCCCAGTACTGCAAAACAATAAAACACAAACATTGCAGCCAGGTGCAATGATGCACCCCTATAATCCCACCTACTTGGGAGGCTGAGACAAAGGATCACAAATTTGAGGCCAGCCTCAGTAACTTAGCAAAACTCTGTCTCAAAATAATTAAAACATGAAAACAGAGGGTTTGACTCAATGGTTGAGCCTCAGTGCTCATTCCCCATTACTGAAGAAAAAAGATGCAAATTTACATTAAAAATATTTACTTAGTGCAAAAGAAATTAATGAAGAAATTATGAGACATAATAAACAAAAGGGAAAACAGCAGTTATAAATCCAATAATATTGATAACAAATGAGAATGAGCTAGTTAATCAAAAGGCATGGTGTATGAAATTGGATAATGAAGTAAAATCTATGAGCACTCTACAGGAGACTGTTTCAGATTCAATATATGAAAAGACTAGAACTTTAAAAAAAAGGCTGGAAAGGAATAAAGAATAGCTTGTGAATTTGTTATTCAATATATTCTGAAATAGTGGACTTATAGCACAAGCAGAGGCTTTATTTTAATGATTGTCTTGCAAGATCTGGCATCTGGTGTCAGAAATGCACATATTGGGTACAACCAGCATTTTATTCCCTTGTAATGGGCCAGGTTATATGGGCAGTGACCAAGTAGACTCCATTTTAATGGAGACCCCACATTATGTAAGAAATGCTTCTCCCATGGGAACACCCCGCCTCTGTACCCATCAACAGTTTCTTAGCACAGCATGTTTGGCAACACAAAATGGAAATTCTTATACAATGTAAAATTATTCTCTTTGGCTCTCATTTTTCTTGGACAATGTACCCTGTTAGAGATTGATCATCTAGATGTTAGTAATCATTCTTTAATTTATACTCAACTAGGGTCGTTTTGACTCACTTCCCTTCTGCTTATGATTTCAGATCTCACGACGTTTGTTTATGGTTTTGAATTATAGCAACAGCCACTTATGATTAATGTGGTTTTGGACTATAAAAGGTATACTCAAACCCCAGGAGGGGATCGAAGGGTGCAGACTTTCAGCCTGCTCCTTGGCCACCAGCTGGTGGATCTGGACCACCAGCAGGTGAATAAAGTTTCTGTCTCCTGCTTTAAGATAGACTAGGTGATTTATGGCAATCTTGCCATAACAATCTAGAGTGCAAGGTCCCTTCCTTGGTTCCTTGTTGGCTGAGTACTATGGCGTCTGTACAGTCACCTAGGTTTTAATGTCTCCTATTGGGTTATTTGAAGAAATATGCCTTGGGTCATTTAAAGTTATTCCCAAGTCCCTTTGTTATCTTGTGGTGGGAAAGTCTTAGGGTGAATGCATTCTGACACACGTGCAGCTTGCCGTTCTCTTTCTGCTGGCCAGGCCGACCCCTTCCCAGCCCTCCTGTTTGTCAAGGGGCTGTTCAGGTGCAGTGGACTTTGGATTTGCCACACCCACAGGCTGTAGTGCTATTTTGCAACTTTCCCTTCTCTAGATCCCCTCTGGGGGCCTTTCTTTCATTCTAATTTTAGATTTAAGGCTGAGTACTGTATTCTGAAAATGGACCACTGGACTTTCTGGTTCTCTCAGAAGTGATGGTGAAACACTTTTCAGGATATAAAAAGCAATGTGTGTCTTTCTTTCTTCCTGGAATACTTGTTCTTGAAAACCATCTATCATGTAAGCAGTCCTCTCCTAACCCTAACTCCCCATAATTGAATCCCGGGATACTCTACCACTGAGCTACATCCCCAAACTTTTTTTTTTTTTTTAGTTTTTGAGAAACAATTTTGCCATATTGCTCAGGCTGGCCTTGAACTTTCAATACTCCTGCCTCAGTCTCCCAAGTCATTGAGATCACTGGCTTACGTCAGTAAAGCAGTTCTTAGAGGCTGCAATGTTAAGAAACTTCAAGTAGTCCAACCGTGAAAAATAATAACATCTTCATATCATGTATGTTATAAAGTTTTGGATGATATTTTGGAAAGCAGTTATGATGGGAATAAAAATTTGGTACTGGGGTGGGGTGCTATTCAATAAAAACTTAAAACATGGCACTGGGTGTTACCACCCAGAATTTGCAAGTGTCATGTTCACTGAAACACTCATGGTCACTCCAGGGGAACTGGGCTGCACGAAATAACCACACAAGAGCCAGAGATACCTTTTTCTTTGGTTCCTGTACAGCTCCTCTGACCTTAAGGGTCCAGAGAGAGAGAGAGAGAGAGAGAGAGAGAGAGAGAGAGAAAACGTGCGAGTGCACGTGCTAAACCCTTTTATTGGGAGGAAGCCATTCAAATGAGGCAAGGGGTCAGGTTTCAGGGGGTTGAGTCTAGCTTCCTGATGTCTGCTGTCAGCAGGTTGACTGACATCTAGGAAGGCCATACCCAAAGGCAGAACAAGAGAAAGGGACACACAAAGTGTTTCCATGGAACATTCTATCCCAAACAGGGCAAAGGGGTAATATCACAAAGGAACAGGTGAGTGTAGCTCAATCCATGGGGCGACACACCTATGTCTGAAGACACATCCTCAAACTTCCGGGACTGGGGCAATGTCCAGGTAGTGACAAAGCCTCTCCACTCCAGGACTGAGAACACAAATCATTCAGAGTGGCCTCCCACATGCTTGAACCTCATGGAATATATTATTAAAGCCTGTAGGGCCTTGGAGAGGGTAACAGCAGAGCCTTTGTGAAAGAGCTTGCTGGGGAATTTGAAGGAACATAGTGAAATTCCATAGAACACGGTAAAATGGGATTTTGTTTTGTAGATGTAAAATGGAAAATTTACCTGAAAGGAAAGTGACCATGACAGTTGGAGCGACCAAGAGATCTTTATTGTGGCGATGTTTGATCGACAGGAGAAAAAGGAGAGAGAGAGAGAAAAGGTGGGGGAGATGTTATGCCAGATTAGTGGAACCCCAATAGACCTCCAGGAGCTGAATCCGAGGCAATCACACAAGAGTCTTTATTGGAAGCTCTAGCCTGGACTCACAACAGCTCCGTCACAGTGGTCTCAGGGAGTGAGCCCCGGTCCTTTGTTCAGTGAGATTTTATAGGTTTTGGGGGGATACTCTATGCATCACTACATCACACAGCAAATCATTCCATCCCGCGGGAAAATTAAACCACAACTCTTAACATTGATTAGCACATTCAATGGCGGGAACAAGATGGGTAGGGGTAATTGGTTAGTACAAGAAGGGCATTTTTTGAACTGATTGGTTTAGGCCATGAGGGGTGTATGTGCTGAACTACATGGTTTCCCAACATGTTATCAACCACCATAAACTACTTGGGGGGTCATCTGGCATTCCAGGTATTTTCCCTGTCTCATGCTGATTGGAGGTTGCTAGGGGGGTTGCTATGGGTCCTTACCTAGCCTGAGTCAGGGACACGTGGTGCCACAGACCTCTCCTGGTACAGACAAACAACTCAGCTGGGTGGGTATGTGCTTAGGAGTGCTCTGTGGGTTTTTCCAAGGACAAGGGTCACACCCCCTTCCTTGGACAGGCTTTGCTCTGAGGTAGAGGCTGGTTTCTCAAAAATGGAGTCACATTAGTTTCTCAGAGCAAAGCAAGAGAGAGAGGAGAGAGTGAGAGAGAATCAGAGAGAGAGAGAGATGGGGGGGGGCAGCAAGAGAGAGTTTTTATAGCCAAAATCTAATGGGGTGTTTGGGTCTGCAAGCTGCCTTGTTGGCATACAGTGATTGGATCATACAGTAGTTGCTAAGGGTGTCGTCTTCTGCCTTCAGGCAGACCGGGCAGGGGTCAGACATGGGTGGGTGTTGGTTGCACCAGATGGGTGGGGGCTGAGTGTTCAGACTTGAGGCAAACAAGTGATCAAGAACCAAACGGATGGGGGTCCAGTGTCCAGGCTACCCTGCAGCTAAGCCTGCTCCACAACAAACATTACCTACTGACCTCTAATGTTGTAGATAAGTGAATTTTAAACAATGTATTCAGGACACTACCTGGCTTTCTCTATGCATATAACAAAATGAGAGCAATGAGAAACTAAAACTGAGCTATTACATGAAGGAAATGTCTTTCTATTCAATAACCTTCTCAGCAAAAGCAAGGTCATCAGAAAAAAGATGAAATGCAGGGCAGGCTATAATATGATTAGGTGCGATTTCAGATGGATTCAGAGGTGCCTAATGAACACCTTCAAACAAATACAGGCCTTCTGAGGGCATGCTTCTGTGGAACCTCTTGCAAACAACAGAGCCATTAGGAATTAATTTTTTTTCTTCAGTGCTGGGCATGGAAGGCAACTTTGGGCCTTCTGCATGTTAGGCAAGTGCTTTACCGCTGAGCTACATCCTTAGTGAGAGCCGCTGTGTGTTTCAAGGGTGTGCCCCCACTAAACAGAGCCCAAGGTACAGAAACAAAGACATTTATCAGGAGCTGGGGCTGGGGTCAGCAGTAGCACACTTGTCTGGCATGTGTGAGGCACTAGGTTTATAAATAAATAAAGGTCTATCAACAACCCCCCCCCCCCAAAAAAAAAGACATTTATCAGGAGGTAGTTTTCGCCTGAAGCAGTCGCCCACAGCCCCCTTCCTCCCACAGCCCCCCCATCACCCAGGCTCCTCCCACAGCCCCTCATCTTCTCCAGGCTCCTCCCACAGCCCCTCATCTTCTCCAGGCTCCTCCCACGCCTCCCCCCCATCTTCTCCAGGCTCTTTCCAAAGGCTCCTCCCACGGTCCTCCAGCTCCCACAGCTCCACCGACCGGCTGCTCCTACAGCTGCTTCCACCGTTCCACCCACGGGCTCTCCCACGGATTCTCCCACGGGGTTCTCCCAGGGGCTTCCCGGCGTCTGCGTACCGGTCGGGACGCGCGTCCCGCAGAGCACACTGGGAGCGGTAGTTCTGCGCGACACTCCATCGCGCACGCGCTCTCTGCCGTGCCGCCCTGCTCTTTGTCCTTCGCTGCCCGGAGGCGTGCGCGCTGGTCGCTGTGTCCTTGGGGCCTCGGTGGCCCGCGCTGGGTTGTGTATTTCTGCGTCTGGTTGGGCGGCGCGACAATGTTGGGGGATCCGGGAGACGAGCCGGCTGAAGGGAGGTGGTGTCTGCGACGGGCGGCAGGGCGGGGCGGGAGCGCGGGCGAGAATCCGGGGGCGAGTCCGGGGGCGCGCGGCGCGGCGGGGCGGGAATGCGGGCGGGAGCCGGGGGCGCGCGGAGGCCGGGCTAGATCGCGGGCGGCCGCTGCGCTCTGTAGGTGACCTGGCAGAGACTGACCCTGGCGGGCCCTTCTTGGCCTGAAGTCGGCTCTGGGTTTGATACTGGCTTCCCTTTTCATCGAAGAGACTTTTGCCGTTGTGAAACCTGCTGCTGACTGTGCCTTTGTTTCAGCCGGTGGTGCTGGTCTGACACCGCTCTGCTGGCAGGTTGTTTTGTTGAAGTCAAGGACTTAATTCAGGATGTGTGCTTTTATCAGTTATGATAAATATGAAATGTGTGATGGGTTTCAAGCATTTTAATAAACATTAAAAAGAGCGTTATTCCTGATACATGACCGAAGGTAGTCGCCTTGATGCCTTTATAGTCAGCAAACGTAGGTACGCTTTTTAATGCGTCTTACTTTTTTATATTTACTTAAAAAAAAAAAAACAAGATTGAGAACATGCTGCTTTAAGTCATAACGGCATATCATTGCTATCTTTCCTTAAAATGTTTTGTTCAAAGTGGGGAATTTAAACTTACTCCGGGAGTTCTCATCAGGCTCCTGATGACTTGTCTGTTTCTCTTGCTTTTGTTCCTAGTCTGTAGCGGAGATACCAGTTCTGCATATGGGACTGTGTTGCACCTGTGCCCTGAGTGTAGACAGAGCAGAGAAGGCCTTTGCCTACTCCACCCCTCTGTCTTGCGGTGGGTGATCACAGGCTCTGAACAGAACTGCATAGGTCCAGGGCCCAGGTGTGTATCCTGGCATCGTGGTACATGTTGGGAAAGAGGTGAACCTCTTTGTTACACACACACACACACACACATACACACACACACACACTCACTCTCTCTCTCTCTCACCAGAGATTGAACCTAGGCGTCCTCTACCACTGAGCTACATCCCGGTATCCAGGTCCTTTTTTGCTTTGAAATAGGGTTTCCCAAGTCGATGAGGCTGGTGTCAAACTTGCAATGGATCCTCCTGCCTCAGTCTGCTGACTCCCAAATCTCTGGGATTCAAAGTACCTGTCTCCTTGCTGTTCTCTGTACTGGGTTTTCTACATTGGGTTTTGTGGGGAAAAATCATCTGGTGCATGGCAAGTAAGTTACTTTTTCTTCTCTGCCTTTCTTGGATATTCTCTTAGAATTCGAAGAAGCCTGGAACTGTAGGATGAAAATGCAAGTTGCCCCTCCCTTTCAAAGATGCACGTGAGAGCTGCTATCACAGGGAGCAATGTATTGTTCGCAGGAAACTGCCACAGTGAAAAAATGAAGCCAATGAAATTAAAATGAGCCACATTCTGCAGTGAGGGGCTTAGACTTCTTTTGCTGAGGGGGTAAGTGAGGACTGACTATCAGAGAGTTAGTTCAGGGATAACTCCTCCTTCAAGGTCCAACATTGTAAATTTTTGTTTCACTGAGTAAAGGCAGGTCTAGAGTCTACAGAGTAACAAATATCAGACTCCCCCCCCCCCCCCCCCCCCCACTGGGGGGATTGAACCCAGAGCCTCATGCGTTGAATCTTTTTATTTGTTATTTTGAGACAGCATATTGCTGAGTTGTCCAGGCTGCCTCAACTTGTGATCCTCTTGCTTCAGCCTCCTGAGTAGCTGGGATTACAGGTGTGTGTGACCACACCTAGTTTTAGAAATATTTTAAAACTACCCAGATTGCTTATCACATCCCTTTCACCTGAAATTCTCAATCTTTGATATTCTCCGCATGAAATCTAACTCATTTTCACGTATCTCTCCTTTTGACAAATTCTCAGTGAAATCTGACTAACCCTCACCAAGTAGACTTTTACAAGCTTATAAAGGAAGTTGAAATTACACTGTGAATTCAGCCATCTGCGAAGAAAATGATTTGAATGATAAAGAGATTTATTGTTTACATTGTCATAATTTTATTCTGTGAAACTAAGTGAAAGCATAATGCAAAGAAAATTAGGTTTCTTGTGGAGTATCTTCTTGGTTCATGGTATATCTGTGTGTGTGTGTGTGCACGCACATGTGCGGGCTATAATTTCCTAATTGCTCAGAGATTTTACTTATTTTTATACCTGGGATTGAATCTGGGACTTTGTGCATTAGCACTGTGCCACTGGTCTACATCTTGGCACTTTTTATTCTATTTGAGACATGGTCTTACCAAGTTGCCCAGGCTGGCTTTGAATTTATGATCTTCCTTTCTTAGCTTCTCAAGTAGCTGGGATTACAGATGTAAACCACAATGACCTGCTAGGTTGTTTCCTCCCCCTTCTCCTCCTCCTGTTCTTCCTTCCTCTTCTTCCTCTTCTTCCCCCTCCCTTTCCCCTCTTCTTCCCTCCCCCTTCCTTCCTTCCTTTCTTCTTTTTTTGATGATACTGGAGATTGAACCCAGGGCCTCTCACATGTTAGGCAAGCCCTCTACCACCAAGCTATATCCCTAGCATCCTCAATCTCTTAAGAATGTTATCTGTAGCCAGTGTGGTCACAGATGTCTGTAATTCCAGCTACTAGGGCGGGGGGTGGGGCAGCTGAGGCAGGAGGATTCCAAGTTTGAGGTTAGCTTCAGCAACTTAGTGAGACACAGTCTCAAAATTAGTTCAGAGGTAGAACACCTCTGGGTTCAGTCTCTGGTACCACCACCTAAATAAATAAATAAATAAATAAATAAAAGTAAATAATAAAATAAAATAAAATAATAGTGGCTAGATTAGCAATAGGAGTTACTTGTAATGTTTTTCTTGTATACATTTAAAAATGTTGTCATAATTTTACTTTTGCAACAATAGTTACTGCTAATATTTGTTTAATGGTAACTGCTAGTTGCTGGTCTCAAATGCATGTGTTATCACAGTTTAGGATATAAATAAGTTGCTTCTATAACTGAGAGAAATCTGTCCTCCTGAGGTGGCACTGAAATTTGGGTCACAAAAAGATATGTAAATGAAGAGCTTTTTTTTTTAAAAATTTTTTTTAGTTGTCAAGGGACCTTTGTTTTATATACTTATTTTATTTTTATTTTTATTCTAATATGTATGACAGCAGAGTGTATTACAATTCATATTACACATATAGAGCACAATTTTTCATATCTCTGGTTGTATACAGAGTATATTCACACCATTCATGCCTTCATGTATGTACTTATGGTAATGATGTCCATCTCATTCCACCATCTTTTTTACCCCCATGCCTTCCCTTCCTCTCCCACCCCTTTTCCCTATCTAGAGTTCGTCTAATCTTCCCATGCTCCCGCTCCCAACCTCATTATGAATTAGCTTCCTTATATCAGAGAAAATATTCAGCATTTGGTTTTTTGGAATTGGCTAAATTCACTTATTATTATATTCTCCAACTCCATCCATATACCTGCAAATGCCATGATTTTATTCTCTTTTATTGCTGAGTAATGTTCCATTGTGTATATATACCACATTTTCTTTATCCATTCATCTGCTAAAGGGCATCTAGGTTGGTCCCACAGCTTAGCTATTGTTAATTGTGCTGCTATAAACATTGATGTGGCTGTTTTACTATAGTATGCTGATTTTAAGTCCTTTGGGTATAGACCAAGGAGTGGGATAGCTGGGTCAAATCGTGGTTCCATTCCCAGCTTTCCAAGGAATCTCCATACTGCTTTTCATATTGGTTGCACCAATTTGCAATCCCACCAGCAATATATGAGTGTGCCTTTTTCCCCACATCCTTGCCAACACTTATTGTTGTTTGTATTCTTAATAGCTGCCATCCTGACTGGAGTGAGATGAAATCTTAGAATAGTTTTGATTTGCGTTTCTCTAATTGCTAGAGATGATGAACATTTTTTCATATATTTGTTGATTGATTGTATATCTTCTTCTGAGAAGTGTCTATTCAGTTCCTTGGCCCATTTGTTGATTGGGCTATTTGTTTTCTTGGTATTTAGCTTTTTGAGTTTTTTATATATTCTAGAGCTTAGAGTTCTATCTGATGTGCAAGTGGTAAAAATTTGTTCCCAAAATGTATGCTCTCTCTTCACCTCATTGATTGTTTCTTTTGCTGAGAAGCTTTTTAATTTGAATCCATCCCATTTATTGATTTTTGATTTTTAATTCTTCTGCTATAGGAGTCTTATTAAAGAAGTTAGGGCCTAATTCCACATGATGGATATTAGGGTCTATTTTTTCTTCTGATAGGCACAGTGCCTCTGGTTTAATTCCTAGGTCCTTGATCCACTTTGAATTGAATTTTGTGTATGGTGATAGATAGGGGTTTAATTTCATTTTGTTGCATATGGATTTTTGAGAATTGAACCCAGTGCCTCACACATGTCAGGCAATTGATCTACCATGGAGCCACCACCCCAGCCCTTTTGTTTGTTTTTGTTGCTGTTTGTCTACCAGGGATTGAATCCAGGGGCAATTAACTACTGACCTACATCCCCAGCTCATTTTTTTTTTATTCTTTTTTTTTTAAATTTTTATTATTGATGGATATTTATTTATTTACTTATATGTGGTACTGAGAATTGAATCCAGTGCCTCACACATGCTAGGCAAGCACTCTACTACTGAGTCACAACCCCAGCCCCATATTTTTTCTTTTGAGGCAGTGTCTCATAAGTTTCTCATGGCCTTGCTAAATTGCTGAGGCTGGCTTTGAACTTATTACCCTCCTGCCTCACTCTTCTGAGCCACTGGGATTATAGGCAAGATGTTGTTTCTTTTTTTTTTTTTTAAAGTCTGGTAACATTTTTTATTTTTACTTTTGTAGTTGCAGAGGGACAGCATACATTTATTTTATTTGTTTATTTTTATGTGGTGCTGAGAATTGAATCCAGTGTCTCACGGGTGCTAGCAAGTACTCTGCCACTGAGATACAGCCCCAGCCCCAAGAGGTTGGTTTTTTAAGATGATTTAGGAATGATGCAGTTTGTTCTTCATTTGAGTTTTTATGGGAATAAGTGACAGAATGTGTGCATGGAAAGAAGAGCTAATTCCAGAATTTATGGTGTATGTGTGTATACATAACTACATAAATATACACAAATGACAAATGATGTGATGATATTAGTGGTAAATACCTTGAACACAATTGAAAGGAGAGAAGACATTGTAATTCTCCTTTTTTTTTTTTTTTTTTTTCAAATTTGTTACTGGGGATTGAACCCCAGGGCACTTTACCACTGAGCCACATCCACTGTCATTTTGTTTTATATAAAATGGGGACTATATTAAATTCCTTACAGGGTTGTCCATGAGAATTGAAAACTGTCCTGCGTATTGTCTTATGTGTAGGAAGCACCAGTGTGTTAGTTGTTACTGTTACAAGGTCCCCTTGTCTTCATCTTACCTCTCATTTGTCAGTCTATGTCTGCTTTATCCTTACCAGTTAAGCTCAGAAGGCAAGAAAGGAAAAAAAAAAATGAAGGAATAGTAAGTGTAAGAACCATAATAAATGTGTGTTGAATTTATCAGGAAAAAGGTTATTTGGATCAAATAATAGGTCTGAGCTCTGAGCTGTTGGGATAAACAATGCTGAAATTTTAAATGTAATTGCATGAAGAATGACAGAAACTCACAAAGGAGTACTGATGCCACCAGAGAGGTGAATGGTAAGGCAGAAAGCATCTGGGCTTTGGAGTGTCCTCCAGAAGCATGTGGCCTCTGTGCAGACCTCAACAGAACCACAGGAGCTGGAGACTGTAACACGTTTCCTTCAGAAACTGATAATCAGCTATAGACAAAATAAAGGAATGCAGGAAGAACATGGAGGATTTTAAGGGACACTATGGCTCAGTTAAAGTTCACTTTTGTAAAAGTCAGGTAGCCAATAAAGGGAAGGAGTTGATTAAGACTGAGATCTGGGGGCTGAGGTTGTGGCTCAGTGGTAGAGCGCTTGCCTTGCATGTGTGGGGCACTGTGTTTGATCCTCAGCACCACATAAATAAATAAAATAAAGGTATTGTGTCCATCTACAACTAATCGTTTAAAAAATAAAAGACTGAGATCTGTTTTAATTTAAATCACATAAGCTTTGAAAATTTTTATCTGCCTAAAACAGAGTTATCTTTTTTGCTTTAAAGGATTTTTAAAAGTGACTTGCACATTGGTGTCCACAGTGAATTTTAAATTAAACTCAGAATTATTTTAATTATGATACTTGTGTCTGTTTGTGGAGACACAGACTTGTGATGTATTTTACTATGTGCTGCTTGTGTTCCTGTGAAGCTTATTTAAACTATATAGCAAACACACCTGGCTTTACATGTCATACATTCATAGTTTCTAAAAGAGGAAGAAAATATTTGTGCAAAGTATGACATAGACTAACTAAAAAGAATGCATTTGGTGAACATCCCAGTTGAAGTGCATTTGTCTCTGCGTCCACAGATCCTGGATCCCCGCCATTAAGCCTGCTCATGTGAACTAAGGGAGGAGTTCCTGCAGCTAGAGATCACTCACAGTGTAGAAGATCTTGCCAAGACCTTACCCCAGATTTTGGGGCAGAGGCAGAAGAGACAAGAGCAGAACAGATCTCACGCTTGTGAATCCTCTTGCACAGGCAACAGAAAATGACCACACTACAGGTGAGTTGATGGTTCATTCCTCATTATTTTTCCAGGGGGTTAGAAGAGGTATACAAGTCTTCCATAAAAAGAAAAGTATGAGTAGTGAAGAAATCAGGAGGGAAATAGTCTCAGAATAGAAGCTTGGGATTGGGGTAAAATTGGACCGGTGCCTTCAGAAGGTCTTAAGGTTTTAATATTTATAAGCTATAGTGTCCCATTTGATTATTATGTTTGAACTGCAAAATTGGCTCTCACATTTTTAAATACTTTTTATTTATTTTAATTAGGTATATATGACAGCAGAATGCATTTTGATTCATTTTGGTATACAATTGTAGCACAACTTTTCATTTCTCTGGTTATACAAGATGTAGTGTCACACCACATGTGCAGACATACATGTACCTAGGGTTTGTCTTGTTCCACCATCTTTCCTGCCCCCATGCCTCCTCCCCACCCTTCCCTCCCCTTTACACAATCATATTTCTTCCATTTTTCCCATGCCCCACCTCATTATGGATCAGCATCCACTTATCAGAGAGAACATTTGGCTTTTGTTTTTTTTGGGGGATTGACTTACTTCACTTACCATGATATTCTCCAACTCTGACCATTTACCTAAAAATGCCATAATTTTATTATCTTTTAATGCTGAGTAATATTTAATTGTGTATATATATCACATTTTCTTTATCCATTCATCTGCTAAAGGGCATCTAGGTTGGTCCCACAGCTTAGCTATTGTTAATTGTGCTGCTATAAACATTGATGTGGCTGTTTTACTATAGTATGCTGATTTTAAGTCCTTTGGGTATAGACCAAGGAGTGGGATAGCTGGGTCAAATCGTGGTTCCATTCCCAGCTTTCCAAGGAATCTCCATACTGCTTTTCATATTGGTTGCACCAATTTGCAATCCCACCAGCAATATATGAGTGTGCCTTTTCCCCCACATCCTTGCCAACACTTATTGTTGTTTGTATTCTTAATAGCTGCCATCCTGACTGGAGTGAGATGAAATCTTAGAATAGTTTTGATTTGCGTTTCTCTAATTGCTAGAGATGATGAACATTTTTTCATATATTTGTTGATTGATTGTATATCTTCTTCTGAGAAGTATCTATTCAGTTCCTTGGCCCATTTGTTGATAGGGTTGTTTGTTTTTTTTTTGGTGTTAAGTTTTTGAGTTCTTCATACATTCTAGAGCTTAGAGTTCTATCTGATGTGCAAGTGGTAAAAATTTGTTCCCAAAATGTATGCTCTCTCTTCACCTCATTGATTGTTTCTTTTGCTGAGAAGAAGCTTTTTAGTTTGAATCCATCCCATTTATTAATTCTTGATTTTATTTCTTGCGTTTTAGGGATCTTATTAAGGACGTCGCAGCCTAATTTGACATGATGAATATTTGGGCCTACTTTTTCCTCTATTAGTTGCAGGGTCTCTGGTCTAATTCTTAGGTCCTTGATCCACTTTGAGTTGAGTTTTGTGTATGGTGAGAAATAGGCATTTCGTTTCATTTTTGCTGCATATCGATTTCTAGTTTTCCCACTACCATTTGTTGAAGAGGCTATCTTTTCTCCAATGTATGTTTTTGGCTCCTTTTTGTAGTATGAGATAACTGTATTTATGTGGGTTTATCTCTGTGTCTTCTATTCTGTACCATTGATATACAGGTCTATTTTGCTGCCATGCCTTTTTGTTACTATAGCTCTGTAGTATAGTTTAAGGTCTGGTATTGTGATGCCTCCTGCTTCACTCTTGCCAAGGAGTACATTGGTTATTCTGAGTCTCTTATTTTTCTAAATGAATTTCATGATTGCTTCATTTGTTTCTATAAGAAATGACATTGGGATTTTAATTGGGATTGCATTGAATCTGTATAGTGCTTTGAATATTATGGCCATTTTTTTTTTGTATTTTATTAGAGACATGGTCTCACTGGGTTGCTTAGCGCCTCACTGTTGCTGATGCTGGCTTTGAATATGCAATCCTTCTCTCTCAACCTCCCAAGCCACTGGGATTACAGGTGTGCGCCACCACTCCTCGCTCTGTTTTGACAATATGAATTTTGCCTATCCAAGGGCATAGGAGATCTTTTCATCTTCTAAGGTCTTCTTCAATTTCTTTCTTTAGTATTCTGTGGTTTTGATTGTAGAAGTCTTTCACCTCTTTTCTTAAGTTGATTTCTAAGTATTTTATTTTATTTTATGTTTGAGGCTATTGTGAATGGGGTAGTTTTCCTGATTTCTCTTTCGGAGGATTAATCACTGATGTATAGAAATGCATTTGATTTATGGGTATTGATTTTATTTCCTGCTACTTTGCTGAATTCATTTATTAATTCTAGAAGTTTCTGGTGGAGTTTTTTGGGTCCTCTAAGTATAGAATCATCTCTCCAGCAAATAATGATAGTTTGAGTTCTTCTTTTTCTATTTGTATCCCTTTAATGTCTGTCTAATTGCTCTGGCTAGAGTTTCAAGAGCTTTGTTGAATAGAAGTCATAAAAGAGGGCATCCCTGCCTTCTTGGCTCTCAAGTTTTTGACAGTTATAATGATATGTGAATGTTGATATAAGTTACACTATTCAAAGGAAAAAGCAAACTGATCATAGAAAGTATTTCTTGATCATTAGGTTTTTTTTTTTTTTTCTTTTTCCTTGATGAAGAATTTAAATAAATAATATCATGGGTAATGTTCTCAATAGAAACAGTGTAGTAAATGCACGTGGGTGCTTTGCTTTATTCTGAGGGACTGTGAGTTAAACCCAGGCCTTTCACGTTAGGCACATACTCTATTGCAGAGCTACATCCCCAGCCTAAAATCCACAGATGAGGGGTATTTTTCATAGTATTCCTCAGAGTGTGATTGGAGGTCAGAATGCCAAAGTGGGACTTAGTGAGTGATGACTATAAGTGCTGGAGATCCGCCCAGGGCCTGTGCATGCTGGGATGCACTCTGCCATAGCTACATCCTCAGCCAACCATAACTATTAGTTCATTTGCCCTTTTATATTGTAAAGCCCAGTTCATATGAAATGTATATAAATGCAAAACTATTTAATGAATTATTATCAAGTGGTTATGCATGAAATCACCTCTCAGGTCCAGGAATAAAATATTCCTACCCCAATGAGGATTTGCCTGTACCCTCTCCCAATTAGCCTCTTTCTTACATCTTCATTGGGTTTGAGAGCAAGGGTCTGCTGGCCTTGTAAAGTGATTGTGAAGTTTGCTCTCTTTCTATGTTCTCTGAAAAAATTTGAGACCATTTTATTTATCCTTTAAATGTTTGGAAGAATGGAAGAATTCACCATGGAAGCCACCTAGATCTTGAGTTTACTTTGAAGGAGGGTTCTAAATTGTGGGGTCAATTCTTTAACAATTATAGGATTAATTCAGATTTTGTTTCTTTATGTGTCATTTTGGGTATGTTGTTTCTTGGGAAGTACAGCTACTTCATCTAGGTTGTCTAATAAGTTTACATAAATTTATTCATGATTAGGGTTTTTTTTTGGTGAATTTTTTTTTTTTTTTTTAGTTGTAGATGGACACATGCCTTTGTTTATTTATTTTTTATGTGGTGTGGAGGATCGAACCCAGTGCCTCACACATGCTAGGTGAGCACTCCATTACTGAGCCACAACCCCAGCCCCATAATATCTTTTTAACAGTTTTGCTGATATATGATCTCAAAAACATCTCCTCACTTTGATGTACAGTCGAGTGAGTTTTAAGTAAATTTTCATTGTATAACCATTGTTACAGTTCAGTTCTAGAAGATTTCCATCACCAAAGAAAATTCTGAGTGACATTTGTGGCAGTTTCCACTCTTCCTCACAGCCTGAGGCAGCTGCTAATTTGCTTACTCTGTCGATTTGCCTTTTTAGGGCATTTCATGTCAATGGATTTATGTAATATGTAGTCTTTGTGTCTGGTGTCTTAATTAGCTTAATGCTTTTGTGGTTCATCCATGTAAGCATGTTAGAAATTCATCTTTTAGTTGACAGATTGTAGTTCCTTATATTGCTTTATCTATTCAGTAGTTGGTGGGTATTTGTGTTGCTTTCTCCTCTTGTTGTGAGCATGCTGAAATGAACAGCCACGGGCAGGCTTCAGTGTCCACATGTGCTCTTGTTTCTCTTTGTCCATAACCAAGAGTGGCACTGTGAATTGTGCAGCAAAATCATATTTACCTTGTAGGAAGCAGCTGTGGTTCCTCGTGTCTGGGTCAGCTCACACTCCTGCCAGAGCATGGTTGCAGTTTCTCCACATCCTGTCCTTCATGGGATGTCTTGATTATCACCATTTAGGGAATGTGAAGTGGTGTCTTACTAGGGTTTTGCTTTGTATTTCCTTCATGGCTAATAATCCTTTGTGTGTTTAGTAGCTATTCCTATACCTTTTTTTAAAAATATCTTTATTATTTATTTATTTATTTTTATGTGGTGCTGCTGAGGATCACACCCAGGGCCTCACCCGTGTGAGGCAAGCACTCTATGGCTGAGTCACAACCCCAGCCTTCCTGTATCTTTTTGATGAATTATATTCAGATATTCTGCCTCTATTTTAATTGGGTTGTCTTTTTATTATTCATTATAAGAGTTGTCTGGTCAAGATTTTTATCAGAAATCTGTACCCTGACCCCACCACAGGCTGTGTTTTGTCATATCTGTTTTTTTGTGGGGGAAGAGGGTACTGGCAGTTGAACTCAGGCACTTTACCATTGACCAGTACCCCTAGCCCTTTAAAAAAATATTTTTTAAGAATCTTCAGAAGTTGTTGCAGTAATTCACTTGCAGGTCAGCATGAGAAAGAAAGAAGAAGCAGAGCAAGCAAAGCAGCAGCAGAAAAAAAAGCCCTTTATTGTATACAGCAATCTTTTTATAGTATTGTGAACAAAGAAGGCAGCCTTCCAACAGCAATAAATCAGGTCTTTCAGCTAATTAAACATAGCATACAGAAGTTTTACTTTCTAGTCAGAAGTGACCCGCTTCTCATGGCTAATCTATTCTCGGCCTGGAGCATGCCGAACTCTGCTCTTGTTAAGAACAGATAATAAAATTTTTCTTAGCGCCCTCCTAGCCCACTTGGCAGAACATCCTGTTTGCAGGCAAGTCCTCCCAAGGACAGTAGACACCTCATTTTCAAGCATGTCCGCTGTTACCTATCTATACCTTGACAGAATATCCCGTTTGCAGGTAGACTCCATCAAGGACAGTAATAGTAACGCAGTCACATCTGATTCTCTATAAGAAGTGTCTCACTAAATTGCTTGAACTTGTGTTTTCTGACATTTAAATGTTTTAAATTTCATTTTATGCTCAAGTGGGATTGTAGAGTGCCATCATTTAGTGCCCTTTCCTTTCTTTCTTATAAGATGCTTTACATACTGCATCTGTGTATATTAACACCTCTGTCAGACAATGTGAAGTTTTGCCATCAGTCATCATGTGAACACCGATGAACCTGAGAGAACATTGGCCTGTGTTTGCCCAGATCTCTACCATGGTTGTTGTTTTTCTAAGTCACTCTAGTACCATTTCCCTTCTCTTTGAGAACCTCCCACTGGTAATTCTTGTAGAACAGGTTTGTTGGGTTTGAATTATCTTAGCTTTCTTTCATAAGAAAAGTTGTTTCATCATTATTCTTGATGAATATATATATTTTGTGGTGCTGGGGATTGAACTCAGGGCCTTGTGCATGCGGGGCAAGCTGTCTACCAACTGAGCTGTATCCCCAGCCCCCTAATGAATATTCAAGCTAGAAACAGAATTCTGTGTTTACAGGTCTCTCCTTTTTGCATTTGGAAACATTTCACTCTCTGCTGAGTTGTTCTGATCCTAGCAACTCAGGAGGCTGAGGTAGGAGGATCACAAGTTCAAAGCCAGTTTCAGCAACTTAGCAAGACTTTGTCTCAAAATAAAAAGAGTTGGGGATATGGCTTAGTGGTTAACTGTCCTTGGATTCAAGCCCCTGTACTCCCACCCCATCACCACTCCTTGAAACAAGAAATATTCCACTCCCTTCTGGCTTCAGCTTTCTAATAGAAACTTTCAGCTACTTGAATTGCTGTTCCCTATGAATGATGCCATATTTTTATTTCATGAATTTGTTTGTATTTGTCTATTTTGGGGTCTACTGAGCTGCTTCAGTCTAGGCTTATACCTTTTGCTGGTTTTAGGGAGCATTTGGCTGTCATCTCTGGAAATTCTTATCTGTGGTGCTGTTTTCTGTTCTGGGATATTGTGCCACTCATCTTGCTTCCCAAGCTCTGTAAATTTAGGGGTCGACTCTACTTGGGATTGAACCCTAAGGCCCTCTACACTGAGCTGCATCCACAATCAATCAATCAATCAATCTCAATCTCTCTCTCTCTCTCTTTCTCTCTCTCTCTCTCTCTTTTGAGACAGGGTCTAGCTGAGTTGTCCAGGCTGCCCTTGAACTTTTGATTCTCCTGTCTTAGCCCCCAGTATCTGGGATCACAGGTGTGCACCAAAATACCTGGCAAGCTCTGTCAGTTTTTTTTTTTTTTTTAATTGTTTTTAGATATTGATGGAGCTTTTTTTTAAAATTCATTTTTATTTATATGTGGTGCTGAGAGTCAAATCAAGTGCCTCACACATGCTAGGCAAGTACTCTACCACTGAGCCACAACCCAGCTCCTCTTTCAGTTTTAAGTCTTTCTCCATCTGTTATTCAGAGTGGATGGTTTTGTTGATTAGTCTTCAGATTCACTGACACTCTCAAGGTGAACAGTGTGCATTTGGTGACACACTTCTTGGGTTTAAAAAAATTTTTTTCTTAATGATGGCATTCTTCATTTTTAAGATTTGTGTTTTTCTTTGATCTCAGGAGACTAGGACAAGAATTCATCTTGTTCAGTCATCTTTTGAAAACCTGCCTTTGGACGTGTTATCTTCCTTTCTGTAAAGTCTTTCATGGCTAACTGTCAGCAGTAAGACGTGTGTTATTTTTTATTTTATCTTATTTTTTTTGTAATTGCTTGATTTTATTTTACACCAGGTGGTGGGCACAAAGCAATCTTCCTTAATAAAATTGACAATTAGCTTCATTTAGAACATTTCTAATCACATTAAAAAGAAAGGATTTATCTTACCATTTGTTCTGCAATCCAAATAAATATACAATAGCTTGGAAAACAACATTTAGAAAACAAAAGCCAATGTAAAAAGACAGATTAAAACAACCAGAACCGTGCAGATGGCACAGATTTAACATTTTCTTACTGCATCATCAGTGTCAGGAATCTGTCCCTTCATCTGGCTCCATTGCTGGGATTTAAAGAATTGCTTTTATTTCCTCGTTTCATTTCACCTTCTGGATCCATCCAATATTTTCTAATATCAGTTAGAACTTTCCCTTTAAAATCTTGAACACTGAGCTGGGCATGGTGGTGCTCACCTGTAATCCCAGCAGTTCTGGGAGGTCGAGGCAGGAGGATTGTGAATTCAAAGCCAGCCTCAGTAGCTTAGCAAGACCCTGTCTCAAAATAAAATAATGAAGAAGCAGGGGATGTAGCTTGGTGGTAGAGCAGTTGCCTGGAGTGCACAAACTCTGACTGTAATCTTAGGTATCACTCCTGTCCACCTGTCCCCTCCAGAAAAAAGAAAAAAACCCAGAGGGACGTAGTAGGTGTCTGTGTGACGTGTAGTTGTGAGAGCAGTGTGTCGAGCCGGGTATACCTCTCCAGGATCAGGCAGTGATGACCACCTCCGGCTCACTGGGATTGTGCTCTTCCAGGAATCATTCTCCTTTGAAGATCTATGTGTGGCCTTTAGCCAAAAGGAATGGCTGTTACTGGGTCCCCATCAGAAGGCCTTGTACAAGGATGTCATGCTGGAGAACTACCACGTCCTAGTGTCACTGGGTAAGAAAAGATTCCTCAGGGACCTCAGAGTATGTCCAATGCATTGCTTTTCTCTTTTTTAATAAAGTTGCTTAATGCTTCTGAATTTTTTAATGATTTTGGACCAGAATTTAGGAAATAAAAGTCTTGGATTATGTTGGCAAGAAAGTATCTGGATCCCACCTTCCCAATAATGAAACCTTAAGTTTGTTGTCAGAAACCTAACTGATGAGTAGTGGTGACAGTGGTGGGTGTCTGCCGTGTGCTGTGCTGCATACTGCACACCCCAGGTGCATTGCAGGAGGGAGTCCACCAGTTTAGGCAGTGGAGCAGTCCTGCGTGGTAGGTACCCTTTTTTCCTGAGAAGAAAATTGAGGCAAAGAGAAGTAAAGTAACTGTCCCAGTGACTGAGAGCAAGAAGGCCAAAGACCCTGGAGTTGAACCCTGTGGTGTGGCTCCAGAGACAGTGCCGAATGGAGCAGTCAAAGATCCTTAGACCTGTTCACCACAGGGGCAGCTGTTGTCATGACTCCTGAGAATTGTCTGTTGAGATGAAGACCCCCTGTTAAGCCCTGCTGCTTCCTTAGAGGCCCTGAAGCCCAGGAGCCAGAACCATGCCCTTGGTGATTTCCCCCCAACAGGCTATGAAGTTATGAAGCCAGATGTCATCTTCAAGTTGGAGCAAGGCGAAGAGCCATGGGTGGGAGATGGAGAGACTCCACGTTCAGACTCTGCAGGTGAGTGTGAGAGAACCTGGAGGTGGGCGGAAGTAGAAGTCCAGCCTCAGCGAGTAGTATTGGTCTGGAACCTTTGAAATCTGCTCTTTTCAAAATCCCTATATCTGTGTGGTGATTTGGAGCAGTTGACGACAGCTACTCAGAAAAATCCCAGTCAGATGTGGCTTCTTGGTTTGCAGTTTAGGATTAAACGTGTCTTCTTCCTCATAGTCCTGATGTTATTCCCTGCCTTGGAATCCAGGGCTCATACTTGTGTGATCTGCTCTCCTTTGGTGTGTGTGATCTGTCCTTCTTTCCCCTGTGGTCAAAGATAACCTGCTTGTGCATTCCAGCATTTTAATGTTCCCTTCAATATTGGAGCAGCTTGTGAAGCCCTCTGTTCAGAATCACTTACTAAAAAATGGAGCCACCACCCGTCCCAGACATTGCCTCTTCAAATAGGTCCTGTTTGTGTTTTCTCTGGATTAGACCATGGAGTGTAAGGAGAATCTCTTCCTCCCATTCTTCCTTATTGTTGTTTTTACTTTTATTTATCTTTATATATTTACAGTACTGAGAACTGGAACTAGGGGTGCTGTACCACTGAGCTGTGTTGCTAGCCCTTTTAAATTTTCATTTTTAGACAGGTCTTGCTACTTTGCCCAGGCTGGCCTTGAACTTTCAATTTTCCTGCTTTAGCTATCATTTTTAAATGTTCTGCTCTTTGGGAGAAAAATATCTTTTGAAAGTCTTCCCTCCTCAACTCCCACTTAAATTTTTTTTGGTTGGGGGGTACCAGGGATTGCACTTAGGGGCACTCAACCACTGAGCTACATTCCCAGCCCTATTTTATTAGAGACAGGGTTCTCACTGAGTTGCTTAGCACCTTGCCAAATTGCTGAGGCTGGCTTTGGACTTGCGATCCTCCTGCCTCCGCCTTCCAAGCCTCTGGGATTACAGGTGTGCGCCACCACACCCGGCCCTCAACTTCCACCTAAATGTCTCATTGCTGAAGTTCTCAAAATGTTAGATGGATCGGATTCTGAATTTTCATAAGTTATCTTCAATAATACCATTGTGCTTGATTTTGAAAAAGCATACCACACACACTGAACAGTTAAACCTTATTCGTTGTCTTTTGTTTGACATTGGCTTAGGTTCTCCCAAAAGAAGATCCTGAAATGTGTATCTGATTGTAAGAATTTACTGGAGAAGGGGTCTCCTCCAGTGCACCAGGAGACTGGGGATATGAGAAGGCAGAGGCAGTGCCAATAAAAGGTGGACAGCGGAGCTTGGTTCCTCTGAGAGCCCCCAGACACTGTTGCTGTACCTTCACCTTTGTCCCTTGGGGACAGCCTTTCCCCTTTACTTCCCACCTCTGGTTCAGGACTGCTGTGACATTGTAAGTCCCCAGAACGTCCTTGTCTCTACATGTGGACCATGCTTGCACCTACCCAAGAAAGGTTCCAGGTAGTGGAGAGTGCAAGTGTGTGGGTGGGCACCAGGTCAAGTATTCTCCAGATACTGTGCTGCACACCCTAGCTTTTACCTCTGTATTAAAATAATGCTTGTGGGCATAGACTAAATGGACACTGTGCATTTCATAACTGAAGCAGAGAAACAAAATTGCAGGCCTTTGCATCTACACATGCAAAAAAACACACAAAAAGCAAAAAAACAAAACAAAACAGGAACCAACCAAATAAAAAAATATTACAACACTAGGACCTAGTCTGGGATGGGACCTCAGAAAAGGGTGAGAACTATGTAGGCTGGAGTCCCAGAACATTTCACACAAGACAGCATAGACAGCTCCTGCAGCAAGGACTAAGAATCTGTGGATAGCTAGCAAAGCACAACAGGAAGTTCAGACACAGAGAATAAATGTTGCAAGTCCACAAATACTGAGAAATGTTGAAATGGGGCTGCCATAAATTTGCAGGGAAAGAAAAAAATAGACAAATGAGTAATATGCTGTCACACTGGAGAGCCCTTGGAAGAAAACGTTACACCCTTTGGTCAAGTTCAGAGAACACCTGCACTCTCCTCTACCTGGAACCTTTCTTGCACCTTTCTTAGGCAAGCACTCTACTAGTGAGCCACAGCCCCAGCCCTGGAAAGACTGATTTTGTCTCAAGGCCTCAGAATTTCAGTCCATGGTTGGCTGGCTCCATTGCTCTGAGTCTGATGTGAGGTAGAACATCATGGTAGAAGGTTGTGTCAGAGGAAAGCAGTTCTGCTTATGGCAGTTGGGAAGCAGAGAGATGAGGGTGGGATTGGGGAGAAGGTGAACCATTTCAGGGCATGCCCCCAGAGATCTGCTTCCTCCAGTCAGTCCCCACTTTCCAATCATCCACACAGCTGCCAATGGATTAATCCACTGGTGAGGTCAGAACCATCATGATCCCTTACAGCCTCAAAGCCCCACCTCTGAAACTTGCTGCATTGGAGACCATGCTTTCATCACAAGACTTTGGGGGACATTCCAGATGCAAACTGTGACACTTGGTTAAGAAGATGTTGGGCTGGGGTTGTGGCTCAGTGGTAGAGCACTCACTTAGACTGTGTGAGGCACTGGGTTCAATCCTCAGCACCACATAAAAATAAATAAATAAATAAATGAAATAAAGTTATTTTGTCCATCTACAACTAAAAAAAAAGTGATATGTGTAGCTGGCTTTTATTTTTTTAATTTTTTTAAAAATATTTTTTAGTTGTCCAATAAAGGTTTATTTCACTTATCTATTTTTATGTGGTACAGGGGATTGAACCCAGGATCTTGCACAAGTGAGGCAAGCACTCTACTGCTGAGCCATAACCCCAGCCCCTTATTTTTTAAACTTTTTGTTCAGTATTTAAACATTGAATGTTCATATTTCATTGCAAGGCAGCACATAATTAATTGTCAAAATTATTTATGCAAACAGGGATTGCATATAGGTGTCCACAAGACCACCCCATGTTCAGAGTCATAAGAGAGGCTCCAAGGCCTATAGCTACTTGGCCTGTAGCTGCCCTATGGTTGGGGTTTATTTCTGTACCTTAATGAGACTGGATCATAGGAAGAGGCCCAGGCAGAGTCTAAAGGAACCAGTGTACTAGCTTCCCATGACCTCCTTGGGACCACATGGTACACTCTCCTGCAGAAACATGTAGTAGCAACTGGCGTCCAGTTTGCCTGCCTAGGGAAGCCCATTAGGGCCTCACTGCCCATAGTCTTCTTGGAGTTGGCAGGTATGGCTCTGTCCCCCTGTGCTGACTGGTCCCAGCAGTCTTAACTGCAGGTGTGCAGTCCAGGGGGAGCTGGCAGGTATGGCTCTGTCCCCCTGTGCTGACAGGCCCCAGCAGTCTTAACTGCAGGTGTGCAGTCCAGGGGGAGCTGGCAGGTATGGCTCTGTCCCCCTGTGCTGACAGGCCCTAGCAGTCTTATCTGCAGGTGTGCAGTCCCGGGGGAGCTGGCAGGTATGGCTCTGTCCCCCTCTGCTGACAGGCCAGAGCAGTCTTATCTGCAGGTGTGCAGTCCAGGGGGAGCTGGCAGGTGCTGCTCATTTCCCCTGTGCCGACAGAACCCAGCAATCTATAGGTGTGCAGTCCAGGCACGTGAGTTTTTGCCAGGAACAGAATGCTGGGAGCACTCTTCAAGCCTTGGACCCAGGCAGTATCTAAGAGACAACTGTGCAGGCAGGCTTTCTGTGGAGAACACTCACTTTTCTGCATTGAGTACCTGCTGATCTCTTCTGCTTTTCAGGCACTGAACCAGGTGCCCTGGGTTCTGAAGGGGCAGTAAGGATGTATTTCCTTCCCATGATCTCTGCTGCTTTTCAAGCACCAAGCCAGGTGCCTTGGGCACAGTAGGGGCAGTGGAAATGTTTCCTCCCCATATAATGCTCATTTTGCAGTGAGAAGGTGAAAGAACAGGAGAGCAAATAACCCAAGTAAAATCCAGACCCTGGCATGGCAGTTGTGGAAATTGATTTACATGTCACAATAGAGAATATATTAGTGTCTTTGGGCTACCACAACAAAATACCACAGAAGCAATGGCCTAAACAACCAGAAGTTTATTTCTTAGGTCAGATGTTATGGTGCATGCCTATAATCCTAGTAATGTGAGAAGCTGAAGCAGGGAGATCAAGGCCAGCCTCAGCAACTTAGAGAGACCCTTTCTCAAAATAAAAAAGGGCTGGAGCTGTCACTCAGTGGTTAATTGCCCCTGGGTTCAATCCCCAATACCCCCCCCCCAAAAAAAAAAAAAAAAAAAAAAGTGAAGGAAGAAGTTTATTTCTCACTTGGAGGAAATCCAAGTCAAGGTGCCAGATCTCTGGTGAGGGCTGTCTTCCTGACTTGCAGACAGATGCTTTCCTGTGGTGTGTGATCTTTCTTCAGTGCATGCTGGTGGGGGGGACAGTGTTCTCTGGTGTCTCTTATAGACACTGATCCTGTCACTTCAGAGTTCCATTCTCACAGCCTCTTTGACCTTCATCTTTTCCAAATGCAGACACAGTGGGGGCTTCAGCATATGATTTTTGAGGTAATACAAGTATGCAGTCCAGCACAGAATGATAAATGTGGAGAAGCTGGGTCTGCACATGAGGACCATGAGATGAGCAAGCTGTGTGAAGAACTAGGAGAAAGTGTCCCCGAAGGAATGACAAATAGGAATGTTATAAGTCAGGAAGGGGCCTAGTGACTTTAAGAAACAGAATGGAAGCCTCTGTGGCTGGAGGTCAGTGTTTTGGGAGCTCTAAAGTGACTGGGAGAGGGCAGGGGCCAGTCCTGCCTCTACTTGGAGGCAGTGAATCTTTTTTTTTTTTTAATTTTTATTGTTGGTTGTTCAGAACATTACATAGTTCTTGATATATCCCATATTTCACACTTTGATTCAAGTGGGTTATGAACTCCCATTTTTACCCCGTATACAGATTGCAGAATCACATCAGTTACACATCCATTGATTTACATATTGCCATACTAGTGTCTGTTGTGTTCTGCTGCCTTTCCTATCCTCTACTATCCCCCCTCCCCTCCCCTCCCCTCTTCTCTCTCTACCCCCTCTACTGTAATTCATTTCTCCCCCTTGTATTTTTTTTCCCTTTCCCCTCACTTCCTCTTGTATGTAATTTTGTATAACCCTGAGGGTCTCCTTCCATTTCCATGCAATTTCCCTTCTCTCTCCCTTTCCCTCCCACCTCTCATCCCTGTTTAATGTTAATCTTCTTCTCATGCTCTTTGTCCCTACTCTGTTCTTAGTTGCTCTCCTTATATCAAAGAAGACATTTGGCATTTGTTTTTTAGGGATTGGCTAGCTTCACTTAGCATAATCTGCTCTAATGCCATCCATTTCCCTGCAAATTCTATGATTTTGTCATTTTTTAATGCAGAGTAATACTCCATTGTGTATAAATGCCACATTTTTTTTTTATCCATTTGTCTATTGAAGGGCATCTAGGTTGGTTCCACAGTCTTGCTATTGTGAATTGTGCTGCTATGAACATCGATGTAGCAGTGTCCCTGTAGCATGCTCTTTTTAGGTCTTTAGGGAATAGACCGAGAAGGGGAATAGCTGGGTCAAATGGTGGTTCCATTCCCAGCTTTCCAAGAAATCTCCATACTGCTTTCCAAATTGGCCGCACCAATTTGCAGTCCCACCAGCAATGTACAAGTGTACCCTTTTCCCCACATCCTCACCAGCACTTGTTGTTGTTTGACTTCATAATGGCTGGGCAGTGAATCTTTAAAGAGTTTTTTCTTCACTGATTGTTTTCTTTCTCCTTACAGTGCTGGGTTTGGAACCCAGGGCCTCAAGCATACTAGGTAAGAGCTCTGCCTCTGAGTCACCCTCCCCACCCCCTGCCCACTCACAGGCATTGAAAAAGAGCTAGGAGTGCTGGGGATGTGGCTTAGTGGTAGGGTGCTTGCCAGGCGAGCACGCTACCACTTGAGCCACATCCCCAGCACCACACACACACACTCACACACACACACACGGAGGTAGGAGTGCTGGGACATTGGCTTAGTGGTAGGGTGCTTGCCTGGTATATGCAAGGCTCTGAGTTAGTTCCCCAGGAACTCCCCCCCCCACACACACACACAAGAATTAGGATTGATTTATAATTTTAAATAAAAGTTTAATTATTTGATTTATATTTTTGAAAGTTCAGTCTGACCACAGATTGGAAGATGTAATTAGATAAAAGTGTGATTAGAAGGTGGTAAAACCTGCTGGTGGTGCACACCTGTAATCTCAGTGACTCGAGGCTGAGGCAGGAGATCAGAATTTTGAGGCCAGCCTCAGCAAGTCAGCAAGGCTCTTTCTCAAAATAAAGAAATAAAAAAAGGTTTGGGGATGTGGCTCCATGGTAAAATGCCTCTGGATTCAATCCCTAGTACCAAAAAAATTAAAGTTTTCACATTACTGATTGTATTTCACACCCAAATTGACCTCACACAAAAATGTTTTTATTAAAAAACAGGCCTTTTGGGCTGGGGATGTGGCTCAAGTGGTAGCGTGCTCGCCTGGCATGCGTGCGGCCTGGGTTCGATCCTCAGCACCACATACAAACGAAGATGTTGTGTCCGCCAAAAACTAAAAAAATAAATAAATATTTTAAAAAAGAGAACAAAATGTAGGATCCCTCATGCCTCTCTACGAGTTTACCCTCCTGCTTTAAAAACAAAACAAAACAAAAAAAAAAACAGGCCTTTTGAAGAGCACTTGTAGTAATTAGTGTTAAGTGGTTACACCATGAGGATGATGGAAATAGAGCTATATAAAATTACTATCCAACTCAGAACATGCTGAGAATGGTAACTCAGGTCTTGGGATGATGTGAGTGAGCTGCTTTGTGGATTTTAAAGCTGTGTGCCTGAGGATTTGCATGAGAGAGGACGTGGTTGAAGTGTGGTGCAAGTGAGGGTCTGTTGGTAGTAATTTGTGAGATGTGTGTGGCAAGTTTAAATCCAACTTCCAGAACATCTGAGAATGGGGAAAATATACAAAATATTTTTCATCCTCAAGCTTGAAATGGCTGTAGGCAGTTACTTCAATTCATTCATGTGCTTCATATTACTTATCATAGTTTTAGCTCAGTTGTGTTTTTTTAAAAATACCTTTGTTTTACTTATTTATTTTATGTGGTGCTGAGGATTGAACCCAGTGCCTCATGTGTGCAAGGCAAGCGCTCTACCACTGAGCCATAACTCCAGCCCCAGCTCAGTTGTGTTTTGTATAATCTGTTCTTTGTCTTACTGGCTAACTGTTCTACTATCTTGGCAGTCCCATGGTATGCTTTCAGTGGGCACCGAGTGAGGTGGTTCCTGAGAACATTGGATCAGTGCTTCTTCCAGCCTCCTGTCTTTGTTTCTGATTGCTCTTCCTGCATGTTTTTTTTTTTTTTGGTGGTGGTGGGATACTAGAGATTAAACCTAGGGGTGCTTAACCACTGAGCCACACCTATAGCCCCTTTTATTTTTATTTTGAGTTGGGGTCTCATTAAGCTGTTTAGGGCCTTGCTAAATTGCTAAGATTGGCCCCAAATTTCTGATTTTCCTGCCTCCCCGAGTTATTGGGATTGCAGGCGTGCACCACCACTCCTGGATCTTCATGCATTCACATTTTTCTTTGATAAACTCATGTCTGGCAAGAGCCAAAGGTGACTGTAGGTTTGTTCTGTTTTCACTGCTTCCTATATTTTTCAGTACCTAGGGGGTAAGCATTCTACTTTGGGAGTTATTTTATACTCAGAGGCTAAACCTTAAAAACACAGTTAGTTGGGCTGGAGATATAGCTCAGTTGGTAGAGTGCTTGCCTGGCATGCACAATGCATCCCCAGCACCAAAAAAAAAAAAAAAAAAAAAAAAAAAGGCAGTTAGTGCCTCAGCATAGCATATCTGGTGTTTTATTTACTTAAACATAACCAAATGGGTGTTTTGTTTCCTTTGTAGAAGTCTGGCAAGTAGATGCTCAAATGAAGTGGCACCAGGATAACCAAGACAAGCTTAAAAATGTGAAAAGAGGTCATGAATGGGATGCATTTGGAAAAAAATTCAATCCAAGTATGAACGTTGTTCCTTTAAGTAAATCAAATAATGAAGGTGACTTAGGTGGATTGATTTTAAGACATCATTTAGATTTGCTTATTCCAAGAGCAGATTATGGAAGAATGGAATCAGATGACTTGAATGTATTTAATAAATTGTTTCTCAATACTGAACCTGAGGAAACTGATTCTTGGTTGAAATACTATGAATGTGATAAATGTGGTAACAATAGCTATAAAAAGTCACAGATTGTCATTTTCCACAGAACTCGGTTAGGAGAGAAGCTCTATGAATGCAGTGAATGTAGGAGACGCTTCAGTAAAAAATCCAGTCTCATTAAACATCAGAGCAGACACATAAGGGAGATAGCCTATGGCTGTGGTAAATGTGGCAAAACCTTTCCCCAGAAGGCACAGTTTGTTACACATCACAGAACTCATACCGGAGAAAAACCCTATGATTGTAGCCAGTGTGGGAAAGCTTTCTCCCAAAAGTCACAGCTTACGTCCCATCAGAGGACACATACAGGAGAGAAGCCATATGAGTGTGGCAAATGCGGGAAAGCTTTCTCCCGGAAGTCACATCTCATATCTCACTGGAGGACACACACAGGAGAGAAGCCCTATGGATGCAGCGAATGTGGGAGGGCTTTCAGTGAGAAGTCAAATCTTATCAATCACCAGAGGATTCATACAGGAGAGAAGCCCTTTGGATGCCTGGAGTGTGGGAGAGCCTTCAGCAGGAAGTCGCAGCTGGTCACCCATCACAGGACGCACACAGGAACAAAACCCTATGGGTGTGCTGATTGTAGGAAAGCATTCTTTGAGAAATCAGAACTCATCAGACATCAGACTGTTCACACTGGAGAGAAACCCTATGAGTGCAGTGAATGTAGGAAAGCCTTTAGAGAGAGGTCAAGCCTCATTAATCATCAGAGAACCCATACAGGAGAGAAGCCGCATGGATGCATTCAGTGTGGGAAGGCCTTCTCCCAGAAGTCACACCTCATATCACACCAGATGACACACACAGGAGAGAAACCTTTTGCCTGCAGTAAATGTGGGAAAGCCTTCAGCAGGAAATCCCAGCTTGTTAGACACCAGAGGACTCATACTGGAGAAAAACCCTATGAGTGCAGTGAATGTGGAAAAGCCTTCAGTGAAAAGTTAAGCCTCACTAATCATCAGAGAATTCATACAGGAGAAAAGCCTTATGTGTGCAGTGACTGTGGGAAAGCCTTCTGTCAGAAGTCCCATCTCATTTCACATCAGAGGACACACACAGGAGAGAAACCCTATGAGTGCACAGAATGTGGCAAAGCCTTTGGTGAGAAGTCCAGTCTTGCAACTCATCAGAGAACTCACACAGGAGAGAAGCCATATGAATGTAGGGACTGTGAAAAGGCCTTCTCCCAGAAGTCACAGCTAAATACTCATCAGAGAATCCACACAGGAGAGAAACCCTACAAGTGCAGTCTTTGTACAAGAGCATTCTTTGAGAAGTCAGAATTAATTAGACATCAGAGAACTCATACAGGAGAAAAACCTTATGAGTGCAGTGAATGCAGAAAAGCCTTCAGGGAGAAGTCAAGTCTCATTAATCACCAGAGAATCCATACAGGAGAGAAACCCTTTGAATGCAGGGAATGTGGCAAAGCCTTCTCTCGGAAGTCACATCTTATCCCACATCAGAGGACACACACAGGCGAGAAGCCCTATGGATGTGGTGAATGTAGGAAAGCCTTCTCTCAGAAGTCACAGCTTGTTAATCATCAGCGAATCCACACGGGAGAGAAGCCTTACCAATGCAGTGAGTGTGGGAAAGCCTTCCCACAGAAGTCCCAGCTCATTAATCATCAGAGAACTCACACAGTAAGGATGGCCTAGGTGTGCCCTTGATGGGACATTTTGACAGATCTCACTTTGTTCTACTTCAGAAAATGCAGTTATGGTAATTTTTCAGGTAATATTTGCATCACGTTTTGCATCAGAGTATTCCTTAGGATCAGAACTCTATAAATGAAGCTTATAGGTAGAGCACTCAGCAGGAAGCATGCGAGAATACTTGGACACCAGCCTTCATGGAGCAGAATGATACTACGAACACAGTGAGTCCCAACTATGGTCAAGTCTTGTGCAGTGGAAAGTTCCAGTACGGGAAATCCCGTGAATATCAGAAAGCCTTCCAGAGGTCAAATCTCATCAGCTATTAATATTCCCACAGGAGATGAGGGATAATTCCCAGAATGCAGCAAGTGAGGCAATACTTTTTCAGGAAACAAGAGCTTGTTGTACATAAGAATATGCCATTAGGAATGAATTTCTATGAAATCACTATCTCTGGGACATGTACCCCCAGGATGTTGTACTTTAGAGAGTTCATGTTGTAGATAAGCCTAAGAATTACCTTGGAAATGTGTGCCCCTTGAAGTAATGCTGTCATGGAAACCTCACAATTATAGATGTGGGTACCAGCAGTCTAAATGGCTGACAGATGTTTCCTTCAAAGTAGGAAGTTTTAAAAATATGTGAATAAATGAATCATTGAAACATTTGAATAGGAGATTTCTTGTATTTATGGCTTATTGTCCTCTGTCACATAATGCTTTGTATTTGGGCATTGCAGGTAGCTGTTGCAGGAAGCGTGAAGCATATGTAGCTTATGGTCCCTCTGATGTGTCAAGACACTACATGTCACTGGCTTTTCTGTCTTAATGCTGTGAAAAGGGTAATTGATTTAACATGGCTTTTTGCCAGTATCAATAGATTAGGCAATAATAACACATTTCTTTTTTCTTATTGTTTGTTGACATCTACAGAGATTGGTTGTTAATATTGACCTTCTTCTTCAGTAATGTTAACATTTCCAGTGCCCTCAGAGTCTGAGGAACATTTTATATAAAATCTTGTATATGCAGAGGCAGGAACCAAGAGTAGCACAGTGATACAAGATACTGACTGAAGAAGGGTGGTGAGCTGCAGTCCTCCGCTGCAAACTCCTGAGGGACGAGAGTGGTGAGCTGCAGACTCCTGAGGGACACAAAGCCTCAGGCTGTTCCTCCTGCCTGTGTTCCCAGGCTGCGAGATCCAGGCACAGCTTGCCTCCGAACTGCTGTGATGAAATACAGCTGCTCTGTGTTGCTGCTGTTCTGGGTGTTGTTAAAAAAAATTAGTTGTGGAAACCAATTATTTAAGAGTGACAATTCACTCTTAAGTAAAATACAATGAATTTTGTGGTGAAATACTCTGTGAACATTCAGGGAAGCTGCTTTTGCCTTCCTGCACATTTCTGTGACTACTGGACAAGTATTAGGAAACAAGATTTCTGTAATTTCTTCATTTGACATATTTGTGTTTCACCTTCTTTCAACAGCTCCATGACTCCTGGGAGAAATTACTATTTTAAATTTCATTTCCTTTAAAATGCAGGAAACATCCCTTAGCTAAATTAGAATTTTATAGTTCATTCTCTCTGTAATGTTCAGAGATGTCTAATATCAAGCTTTTGAGCTTGATTTCAAACTTCAGAAAATTGAGATTTTTCTTACACAGAAATTGCTTTAAAAATATATATATTTATTTTGTTTATTTTTATGAGGTGCTGAGGCTCGAACCCAGTGCCTCACATGTGTGAGGCAAGTGTTCTACCACTGAGCTACAACCCCAGCCCCCGCTTGTTTTTTTTAACTTTTTTTAATTTTAGTCTTCAGTGGATCTTTATTTTATTTGTGTATATGTGGTCTGAGAATCAAACCCAGTTTCTCATAATGCTAGGCAAGCGAGCTACCACTAAACCACAGCTCCAGCACCCAAAACTGTCTTATTAGTATCGTTTATGTAATTTCTATTGTAATCATATTCTTTAATTAATTTTGCAACATAGTTGGGAAGTTAAGACATTAGATAAATGTGATTAAATTTCTAAACCAATATAACAGAATTTCAATGTCCAAATTGTCCCCACTCTTTTTTCATAGTAATTTTTTTGTGGTGCTAGGGATTGAACCTAGGGCCTTGGGCACACCAGGCAGGTGCTCTCCCATTCAGCTATACCCTCAGCCCCCTCCTAGTGATTTTTTTTTTTTTGTGTGTGTGTGTGCCAGGGATTGTATCCAAAGGTGCTTTACCACTGAGCCACATCCCTAGCCCTTTTTATTTTTTATTTATAGACAGGGCCTCACTAAGTTGCTGAGACTGGCCTTGAACTTGCAATCCTCTTGCCTCTGCCTCCTGAGCCACTAGGATTACAGGCATGTACCACTATGCCTGGCTCATAGTAAATTTTTTTAAACAATTTTTATTTAACGTTTAATTAATTAATTAATTGTATGTTGTGCTAAGGATCGAACCCAGGGCCTTGTGAGTGCGAATCGAGCGCTCTACTGCTGAACCACAACCATAGCCCCTCATTATTCTTCCTACAGTTTATGGTGTGCCTATTTTCTCTAATGCTTGAAAGTTATTTTGCCTGGCAAAGGAAACAAACCTTTGTAAATGAACAAACAATAACAGAATGATGTTCGGCTTTGTGATTTTTCCACTTTTCCCTTCCATCCCTCATGGTGTCTCTTTCCTAGTCATACAAATTGGTTCATTAGGTCTAGTACTGAGTCAGCAATCTTTTCCAAATTTGCTTACTCCACTTTTAGGTTATTCCACTAACTATTAAGCAGTTAAACGTAATACTGTCTTCAATGGGTAGTGGAACTTCAGCACTAGCCTGCTGATTGATTGTCCAAGAAGAGAACAACCCTCAGCTTTTTGAGAGTCAGGCTGTAGTCACAGGGAGGTTCAGTGCTGACTCAGAGACCTAGTCCACAGAGGACCTGGTGTGCACCCAGTTGCTTTGTGAAGCCTCTTTGGAACTTTCTGATTCTGCCACGTCCCTGGGGGGGGGGGGAGCTCTGATTCTGGAATTAGATATTTTTAGTGTATGTTTTAAATGCCTTAACTACAAAAAACATCTTTCTACACTTCCCTCATTGATTTCCTATTATAAATCCCACATCACAAGGAAGTTTTGGGGTTGGGATTGTGGCTCAGTGACAGAGTGCTTGTCTAGCACATATGAGACATTGGGTTTTGATCATCAGCAACACATAAAAATAAATACAACAAAGGTATTTTTAAAAAGGAAATTTTGCTGGGCATGATTGTACATGCCTATAATTCAGCCACTTGGGAGGATGCAGCAGGAAAATTGAAAATTTGAGGCCAGCCTCAGAAACTTTGCTAGACCCTGTCTCAGAAAGCTCTAGGGATCTAGGGATATAGCTTATTGATAAAGTACTCCTGGGTTCTGTCCCTAGGAGAAAATAATAATGATGTTAAACTGATTTTACTTGTGATTTCATGGAGCATATTAAGCAATACTGAGGGAGAATACTTAATATGGGATAGCATTCCTTGTTATCCTATTTGGCCACCAGTTTCTTCCACAGATCTCGAATTGTATGCAGTTCTACAAAAGATGATTTATACTGTACTCTTTTTGCTAAGGAATGGGGCTCTTTGGAGATCCAGTTTGTGTATTTTGAAACCTATCCTAGGTATGCCCTCTGTTTGGCATTTTTTTTTTTTTTTGGTGGACTCTGCCACAGTTATCTGTGGATCCCCCCATAGGTTCCTGATGTTGATTTGAAGAATGTTACCTGTAGAAACCTGAGATGAATACCATGTATAATTTATCTAGCAAAGCCTTTATTATAAACAACAGAGTATAGACCTCTAGGCCTTTGGGATCTACCCTTGAGACTTCCTCAGTCATTTGGTTGGTTGTCTGGAGGTACGCATCCAGGTTGTCAATCTCAGTGGGCCTGTCTACTTATTTGCTTAGGGTACCAGCGAGCTTTCAGATGCTTAGCACCTGAGAATACTGTTCTGAGTGCTCATTAATTATCCAGGGCCCTTGCAGCTTCAGGCACACTCTCTGCACCTTGCTCCCATTCTTTTTAGTTCATTTTCTTCACTTCTTACATGTAGTGGTCATTTTAATGCAAATTTGGTAACACATTTCCATGTTGAAATATTGTGACCCACGGTGGACTCTTCATTGAAATATACCAGGACTTTTATACAAACCCATGCCAGTATTATTTTAAATTATTTTTGAACATAATTTTTTTCTCCTATGCAATATTTTCTGGTTTCCTTGAACTACTGGCAGTTCCTAGAGGTTTCTGTACTCTCTGATCTTTGTTTTTTTGGGGGTGGATTTTTTTTTTTCAAATCTATTGCAACTAAATGCTGTGGTTCTTTGTTAATGCTTATCCAATATTTGATGCATGTGGTTATGAACCTGTCCGTGTATTTCTCACTGTGACAATGTAATCATTGTATGTTTTATCTTTTCTATTAGAAGGCTTCTGGAAAGCGTGACTCTTGTCTCTAGTTTCTGGAGTTATAATATTTAATGTTGGCTGTTTTCTGTTCCATGGAGAAATGTGGTCTGCACTAGAGAAGATGAAGCTATCGTGGAAGCAAGGTCCATAAAAGGCCTGGTACCTGCTTCTCCTTGTCTTGATGTCCAGATTTACTCTGCCCTTTCCATGCTTCAATTGTTGGGATAATCCAGATATCCTAATAAAGCCTCTTGTTTGCTTTGCTGGTTCATGTTGTGTTTGTTACTTACAATCCAAATATCCTTACTAACAGGAAGCCAGGCTATCATAAAGTGGGTTCTTAGGAGGCAGGCACTTAGAAGTTTGGGGTACAAGGTGTTTCCTGAGGTTAGCAGCTGCCGAATTGTGGGAGAATAAGAAAGGAGTAAATAGAGGAAAATGTCAAACTGGACTTTCGGTTGTCCCAAGCCAATGGCGCCCACAGCAGATATTGTTTGCCGGAATGTCTTGGTGGGCCTTGATGGCCAGGCCTGGCTCAGCTGTGAGAGGCAGGCTAGGGGCCCTCAGGAGACCTGGACAAGTTGATAGCCAGGTTGTCTGCTGACTGCTCCCTCTGCCAATGGACAGCATGTTCTTCCTTGAGGAGGATCTGGACGATGCATCTGGGACTGCAGTTTGCCCTTCCCCTGCTTAGACACTGTCTTTTAAGTTACCTCTGGAAGTCGCTGCTCTAGGGTTTCAGTGGGACTCTGGGACACCGAGGAAGGTGAGTAGGACCATCCACAGCTCCTCCTGCTGTGTTTGCTGCCTGGTAGCCTCTTTATTACGGCCTCTGGCATGTCCCAGGACCTCATCCCCACAGGGTCTGAGCCCTCATCACCATGCCCTTCCCTGATCCAAGCTGCTGTCTCTGGCCATTACTGTAGTAGTTTGGCCTGGAAGCCCCAAGAGGCGCCTAGAGGGTCCTGAGTTCCCCTCCTGTGGTCTGCTCTGTTGTGTGATGGCAGCTGAACCTCTTGGTGGTCAGTGCCAAGCAGCCCTGCAGAACCCCACTCTCCTGGCCTGCTGGTCCTGGCCATAGGGAGCACAGACTTCCCACAGGGCATCTCTGGTTGATGGCTTAGAACATATGCTCTGACCTGTGTTGAAAAGGAGTCAGGAACTTTAGCCCCGCAGAGCCCAGAGGTGTCACATGAGGCACAAGGTTCCCCATGGGGTCTTTGGTCACAGAGGCAGGTGTTCTGCTCTCAGCCAGGTGTTTGGGCCCTGCACATTCTCTTTGGGCATGCAGAGCCTTGCTAAGGTCTTTGGCCCGCCTGGTTGCTGCAGGCACACCTCCAGCAGAGCTCTTCAGAGTACAGCACCACTGTGAGGGTGCTGGGTCCAGAGGATCCTGGCGTCCTGAGCATACTCTTGCATTTCCTTTGCTTCACAGTGGATCCCCTCATCTGATGCACTGTTATTTGGGTCCCCAAATGGCATAGCACACTAAGTCTTTGTAATTGTCCTGGCTGAGGCCCAATGTTCAGCGAAGAAAAACCTTCCCTTGAATCTGCCCTGTAAGAACAAACCACTGGGTTTTCTCAACCCAAATGGCCAACCTGAGACCAGTTTTTACTGGTATCGTTCAGGAACCGTACCTCCAGAGGCACAGCCGTGGCCTCTGGTGAAGGTTTACTGCCGACAGTGCCTGAAACAGCCATGGAAACGGGACTTGGGTGTTGGCCCAGCACAAAAGCCCTATCGTTGCCCCACAGCTGCCTGTTCATGTGCCAGCTGGGCCAGCGCTATTGTGGCAGCCCCTAGCCAGATCTGGTTGCTCTCATGGCTGTCTGGAGCCTCTTCCATGACGTTCTCTGATCAGTATCTATGTGCAACATGAAGATCTCCATGCATGCCCACCCACACAGTCTGTTTTTACTGCAGCCCTGGTTCGACTTTCTCCTTCCAGGCCCTGTCCAGCCAGCTGGACCGTGCACCAGGTCCCTGTGTCTGCAGGCCTTGGACCACTTTCCACAGGTGGATAGCTTCGTGCATCTGTAGCAGAGTGGCTTCCCTTTGTGACTGTCAAGTTGCCCTTAAGTGAGTTGCCTTGCTTCCACGCAGAACTGAGGCTCTCCTGTCTGACGGGTTGCACAGGGCAATAGGTGGCCATCGGCAGTGGAAATAAGTGCCGCTATAGAAGTAGGGGTTACAGCCCTCAGGGGGGCATCCCTTTGGGTAATGGCTGCACCTGTCCACATTGATGCCGCAGTCTTGGTGTGACTCAGCCCTTTGTGGACAGTGTGACCACATCACTTGATAGATTGCAATGGGGTGTTCCATCTCTCAGGTCCTGATGACACACCAGGAGCTGTTTCTCAGGAGCACATGTGCAATGATTTTAATGTGGCCACCCCCACCCAAACTCATGCTGTATCTTGGTCCCCAGTGCAGTGGTGTTGGGAGGTGTTGGGGCTTCAAATTTGTTTTTTATTTTTTAATACTGGGGATTGAACTGAGGGGCACGTTATTGCTTAGCTGCATAGCCAACTCTATTTCTTATTTTTGAGACAGGATCTCCCTGAGTTGCTGAAGGTCTCCCTAAGTTGCTGAGGTTGGCCTTGCATTTGCTGTCTTCCTATTACAGCCTCCCTAATCACTGGGATCACAGACCTGTGCCACTGTGCCTGGCTAAGGAAGACTCATGCTCCTCGAGGGAGCAGGTTCTTGCTCTCTTGGGACTGGGTGACTGTACTGTGAGACTGTGGTGTTATGAAGTGAATCTGGCACCTTTTCCCCTTTCTCTCTGTGTCCCTCTGTCTCTCTCTGATGCGTCTTTCCAGTACTTGCATGAGGCCCTTGACAGATGCATCTACCTCATCTTGAGCTTCCCAGCCTCCTGAACTGGGAATTATATGAACCTTTTTAAAAATAATTACCATGGTCTCAGGTATTGTTATAGCAGCAGAAAACAGACTAAAACGATAAAATTGTCCACCACCAGATGATTTTCCCACAGAGCAGCTGAGATGGGCCTGTGGTTCTCCCCTGGGGTCTATCACAAACTCTGTGTGGCATCTTTCCCTGTTACTGACACTTTGAGCTCCATAGGGTGTGCTAGATTGCATGCCCAAGCATCAGGGCTGCTTTTATTGGTTGACCTTCTGGAGAGCTCTTTGCTCTACCCCCCATGCTAGAAGCTACTTAATGTAATGTACTCAAGTTCCATTCATTTTTTCTGCAAATGACATAATTTCATTCTTCTTTATGGCTGGAAAAAAATTCCATTGTGTGTATGTACCGTATTTTCTTTATCCATTCTTCTGTTGATGGACATCTAGATTGGTTCCATAGTTTGGCTACTGTGAATCATGTTACAATAAACATGGGTATGCACATATCACTGTAGTACAATGACTTTAACTGAAAATAATTTCTAGCCAGGCGCAGTGGCCCATGCCTATAATCCCAGTGGCTTGGAAGGCTGAAACGGAGGATTGTGAGTTCAAAGTCATGGTCAGCAAAAGTGAGGCTCTAAGCAACTCGGTGATACCCTGTCTCTAAATAAAATACCAAACAGGGCTGGGGATGTGGCTCAGTGGCTGACTGCCCCTGAGTTCAATCCCGAATACCAAACAAAACAAAACACCAAAACAACAACAACAGTAACAACAAAAAACCCCAAAAGTAATTTCTAAATACTGGGTAGAGGACATTCAGGTGAAAAGATTGCTGAACGAAGGATTCCTTTAAGATCAGTTCACTGTTCTCTGGGCCTAGTGGGCATCTGGACAAGATGTCATTACATATTGGAAGGTCCTCCTGCGTCCTCCTCTATCAGACACGGCAGCATCCCAGGGGTTCAGTGAGTCCAGAGCGCTAGTATCTGCACCTCTTAAGGTGCAGGCAGGACAGGTAAGGACAGGCGGGGGCAGGGGCGCCCCTCCCGCGGCTGCTGCCTCACGTATTTCCCAAGTCTTTAGGGAGCATCTTTCAGCAGCTCTGTAGGGGCAGGCCAGACTGTTACTGCTGTAACAGTCATAAGGCTCTGGTTTCCTGTCGGCCGGCAGGCTGGGGGCTGCGGTAGGACCTCAGGGAGGTGGTCTTCTGGGCTCTGGTTTCCTGTTGGAGTCCAGCGCAGGCTGGAAGTTGTGTAGGGACACAGGGAGTGTGGTCCCCTGGGGTCGGTTTTCAGTCTTAGGAGTTACTGTCCTGGTTTGTAGAAGGTCATCTGGGAGACTTATTTTCTGGTCCTTGGTTTTGTGGCTGGTACCGGGGCCTCCTGGGAGTTGTAGTAGAGCCGGGTCCTCTGGGCTCCAGTTTCCTGGTAGGGTCCAGGCGTATGCTGGGAGTTGTAGTAGAGCCGGGTCCTCTGGGCTCCAGTTTCCTGGTAGGGTCCCGGGGCATGCTGGGAATTGTAGTAGAGCCTATAGGAGGCAAGTTCTCTGGGCTCCGGTTTCCGGGGCATGCTGGGAGTTGTAGTAGAGCGTCTAGGAGGTCCTACTAAGCTGAGAGTTGATTGTGGTTGTGTTGGTGCTGCAAAGGCCGGTGCTTGGTCGTTGCAGAGTTGTCCTCCTGTCCGGAGACCTGTCCCACAGCGGTGTCCCTCGGCGGAAGCTGCGCTGCGCCGCAGGGGAGGAGGCGGCGTCCTGGCTAAGCTGCTGCGCAGAAGGAGCACCCGCCGGCCCCCCAGGCTGGCGCCCCCCCCAGTCCGCTTCGTGCTGCACCGCTCTTTCCCGGAGCCTCCTGAACCATGTCTGTGGTAAGCTGACTCCCATTTCCTCTCGGGTGCGCAGCTGGCTCAGGCTCGGGTCGCCAGCGCGCGGGAAGGCCGAGTAGTACAGGCGGCTCTGCCCTGGCCTTGGACCGCCGCTCTGCCCTGGCCAAGCTCTTGGACCGCGGCTCTGTCCTGGCCTTGGACTGCGGGGTCTGCCCTGGCCAAGCTCTTGGACTGCAGGCCCCGCCCTGGCTTTGACCTTGGGCTCTGCCCTAGCCTTGGACTGCAGGCCCTGCCCTGATCAAGCTCTTGGACCGCGACTCTGCCCTGGCCTTGGACTGCGGGCTCTGCCCTGGCCAAGCTCTTGGACTGCAGGCTCTACCCTAGCCGGGCTCTTGGACTGCAGGCTGGGTGGCTGGAGAGGGCAGGTATCTTTCCAGATGCTGCTGTTCCTGGCTGATGGAAGGAACGCTCACCTTCTGGGCGCCCCTCCCACGGCTGCTGGCTCACGTATTCCCCAAGTCTTTAGGGAGCATCTTTCAGCAGCTCTGTAGGTGATTTGGTGAAGCC